GCATAAGCACAATACCCCACAAGAATATACAACACAAGCATGGAAACATACATCCAGTATGGTAAAAATAACTTTAATTTGTGTCAATAAACCAAAATCCATACTAATGTAAAATATTTTGAGATTAATAGTTGTTTTTTGGGTTAAAGTCAATTCAATGATCTAGCCTTTATCTCATCATTTCTATATCATATCCCCCTTTTTACTTTAGAAAGCGATCTTTGAACTTGACTCCTTTGTCTAGTTTTTTTTTCTGACTATGACCAATAACAATTTGTAACCAAATCCCTTAGATGATAACAAACATCCATAACTCATCTTTTGGGAATGTGGGCATTGTTGATGTTGTTGTTGTTTTTTCCTAAACTGCTTCCTATTGCTTGGGGGCACCAGTATTTTGGGGGGGCCCTGAGAAAATTTAGGATAATGGTTAAGTCTTAGCTTAATAGTTTGTGAGGCTGAACCATCTTAGCAGTCTTGAAGCTGTTCTTGCTTTCTTGCTGCAGTAACTAATGGAAGTATTCTGAGATATTGAATCATCTGGGCCTTCTCTTTTTATTGGTGTTGGTCAACTTTATCTGAAAATATATAAACATTTAAAGGTAACTTACATATCTGTATTAATACAAGTATAGACTATTGTTTACAAGTTTGCTGAAGATGATTTTTCATTTTATGTTTGAGCAGATAAAATATACATTAATGTGTTTTGTATGTTTTTTTTTTTAGGTTTATTTCTTTATGTCTGTTGTCAGGATTTTCCAGGGTGGTCTTCCCTGATCAAGCCTGAGCCATATCAGCCTCGAATGAATCCACAGCCTCTCTTGTGGAAATAAAACCTTAGCCTTTATCCCAAAGCAACACATTTTTTGACTTCTATTTTGAAGTTAAGATATTTTTAAAATATTTATGTTGGATTCATCTAGCAGTTTTTGTAATCAAATGTCTCAGCAGTTATCACTCACTCATTAGCAGTCAAAAAATTTAATGACAACATAATAACATATAGGATCCAGACTCCCTGTGGTTTTCCATCTCTGTGTGGCGGTGTGTGTGTGTGTGTGTGTGTGGTACTTCTTTTTAAAGGGCTTCAGTATTTTTAAACTATTTTCAAATCTATGACTACATACACCTTTCTTCTTTTCTCTCCCAAACCTATGTATATTTTTAAACACACTGTAGTCCGTTTAGAGTTTTTTCTGTCTGGATCTGTCTTTAGTGAACATCTGTATTAGTTTTTCAGTTGCATAAATTGAATCTTAAACTGCTATATCAGCCTCTGCCAGTGCAGCTTACCTTAGTGCATGACAGCTGGCTCCTCCCGCAGGGGCCTGCCGGGAGATGTGCCTTGTCACTGCAGCCAGCATGAGAGACATGAGAGTAGGAAGCTGTGTTTTGCTCTGTTTTTGTGTGTTTAAGACATTTTTAAAGGTTTTTCAGGTTTTATGTGGCTGTAGGTACCTAATGTTTGGGTGCCACATGTAAGCAGAATTTCTCTGTGTCTCAGCAGCCACTCCAAAATAATCTCCCTGAGACTTAATTACTATTAATTATAAATGCTCAGTCAATAGCTCAGGGTTGTTACTAGCTAACTCTTGCATTTTAAGTTAACCCTTATTTCTTATCTACTCTCTGCCACATAGCAGAGCATGTTTATCTCTTGTTTCATCTCCATCTCAATCAAAACTCCTTAGACTTAACCCTTCTTCTTCCCAGTGTTCTCTGTGTCTCGCCTCCTAGTTACCAGCCAGTCAGTTCTTTTCTTTTCTCTTTTTTTCCTTCCTTCCTTCCTTCCTTCCTTTCTTTTTTTGATCAATTCTTTTCTTAAACCAGTCAGAAGGTGAGAAAGTGCCTGGGCAAAGGAGCGCATCTTCACAGTATACAAAATGATTATTTGATGACATTTCCCACATTGGATGCCATATGTAGAGGGACTTTTCTGTCCTGCCTCAAACTCACTGAGATCTGGCTGCCTCTGTTTCCCAAGTTTTAAAAACTGTTTAAGCCAGGCGGTGGTGGCACATACCTTTAAACCCTTGCAATCAGGAGGCAGAACTCTGTGAGTTCAAGGCCAGCCTGTTCTATAGAGCAAGTTCTAGGACAGGCTCCAAAGCTACAGAGAAACCTTGTCTCGAAAAAGCCAAAACAAACAAACAAAAAACCCACTGTGTCTAAAATGGGATTTTGTTACATTCAGTGTGTCTTTGTGAATTAGAAACTAATCAAACTTTCAATTTTTTTAATTTTATTTATTTATTTTGGTTTTTTAAGACAGGGTTTCTCTGCGTAGCTCTGGATGCTCTGGAAGCCCTGGAACTCACTCACTCACCAGGCTGGTTTTGAACTTAAGAGATCTGCCTGCCTCTGCCACACATTGCTGGGATTAAAGGTGTGCACCACCACCGTCTGCTCTTGCCATTGAGAGCAATTAGTGTGGATGCACACATCCCTCAGTTCTAATGGCCTTATTAACTAGCTTAGTAACCTAAGTTTCCTTGTCTGTAAAATAAAAATAACAATCACCAATTTATAGGAATTTGTGTGTATGTATGCATGTTTGTATGTGTACACATTACATGTGTGGGTGCTTACGGAGGCCAGAAATTAACATTGGATATTGTTCCTTAATTGCTTCTCTACCTTAATTTTTTTTTTTAAGGTAAAAGGACTAGGAGGTTGGGAAAGATGAGGAGGAGGAAGAAAATGTCAATTTCTTTCCATAATTTCTTCTTTTGTTTTTTTCTCTTTTGGTATTTTTGAGATAAGGTTTCTCTGTATAGCCCTGACTGTCCTGGATCTCACTTTGTAGACCAAACTGGCTTCAAACCCAGAGATCCTCCTACCTCTCTCTCCCAGCTGCTGGGATTAAAGGCATGTGCTACCACTGCCCACCTCTTCCCATAATTTCTATATTTTTTATTACTGTTCCTAATACTGTGTTAGATATGACTATTATGTACTGAGCAAACACTTTAAGCTAAATGATTCACCGAACTTAGAACTCACTAACTGACTAGACTAATGTCTCTTTCCCTGCCCCTTAGTGCTAGGATCACATACTACCACCATGTTCGCTCAGCTTTTCTATAGGGAGATGTGATCTGAACTGTAGTTCTTTTATGCTTGCATGGCAGGCACAGGCACTTTACCAACTGAGTCATCTTCTGAGCTTTTCGTATTTTTGAGACAGGGTCTTCCTATGTAGTTCTGGCCAATCTGGTACTTGTTCTGTAGAGCAGGCTGGTCTTGAACTCAGAGATCTGCCAGTCTCTGCCTTCCGAGTGCTGGGATTAAAGGTGTGTATGTCATCACACTCAGCCTCAGCCTTTTAAAAATATTTAAAATGTTAAATTGGCATTGTGATTGTTCAGCAGATGATAAGTATCTAACACTAGTAGCAGCAGTAATAAAAGAAGATGTAGAAACTGTGGGAAGAAATTGGTATTTTTTTCTTCCCTACCCGCTTGCTTTTCTTCTCTTCTTTTTGTGGTACTTGACATTGAACAAGCAAGTTTACATGCTTGGAAACACTGTATTCTCTGAGCTTGTAGTACTGTATTTTCATTATTTCATAATTCTAAGGATATCTAATATTTCCGGTTATATATGCAATGAGTTATGTTTTAGGTGTACCTTGATTTAAAGAGTACTGTGAATGAATTCCTGAATTGTTGGATTATATTACACCTAAAAATTTAAAAATTGCTTTGGACTGGGGTCGTGAGTCAATGGTAAAATACCTACCTACCTAGCACATGTAAGATAGGTTTTGGTTCCTAGTACCACCAACGCAACTTCAAAAGACCCCTTTACACGCATACATGCGCGCTCACACACACAACACACAGTCATTTAAAATAGAATCTGGGGAGATAGCTCAGTTGATAAACAATGTTCAAGTATGAGTATAGATGCTCAGTATCTTTGTAAAAAGCTAGGTATGTGGTACACCTAGAATCACAGAATGGGAAGGCATAGATAGGAAGACCTTCTGAAGCATGCAGGACATCTAGCCTCAGAAAAATGTGTTGGAGAGTGATAGAGGAAGACATTCCATACTGGCCTGGCGCACACACAGGAACATGTTATATACACATATACCACATACACATAAAAGTATTTACACACACATGTACACATAGGAACATGTTATATACATGTATACCACACACAAATAAAAATGTATTTGCATGTCAAGTCAGAAAGTAGAAATATCACAGAGCAGCCCAAAGTTTTATATACTTCTTGTTTGTGTGTTTGTTTGTTTTTGTTGTTTTTCAAGACAGAGTTTCTCTGAATAGCTTTGAAGCCTGTCCTAGAACTCACAGATCCACCTGCCTCTGCCTTCCAAGTGCTGGGATTAAAGGTGTGTGCCAGCACTGCCCAGCTGAGTTTTATATATTTCTGTGCTAATGGATTATATTTAAATTTAAGAGAATTTTATGAATATTTTAAAGTCCTTTTGTGGGGGAGCTTTTTGTGACAGGGTTTCTCTGTGTAACAGTTCTGGCTGTCGTGGACAGTCTTACTGGAGTTACAAATGGTAATGAGTCACTTGGTGTGACTGCTGGGAATCGAACCAAGGTCCTGTGTAAGAGCAACAAGTGCTCTTGATAACAGAGCCATCTCCAGCACCACTTCCATCCTTTCTGCTTGGACTGTATGTCCTCTGCATTGTTTACATTACTGACCTTTTTGGACAAAGGCACATTGAAACATAAATGAAAAAAGAAAATTATAGGAATAGCTAACCACTCTCTAATTTACACATAAAATAATTTATAAACATTTGATTCTTAAAAGCCTATCTTCAGAAACACGAAGGTACCATGTCTAGTTTTTGGCTATCATATTTAACTTGTTTTATTTTCCTCTTGATCATGACTTCTGACTTGAATTAGAAAGGTTTGTTTTATAAAGAGGTAATTGTTTCTATTCATACACGTTTGTGGAGAAAGATGCAAAACCTTCCTGTGATTGGTGATGTACTTTTATTATAGGCTCAGCAAAACAGTCCTTCTTCTACGGGTTCTGGCAATACAGAACATTCTTGCAGCTCCCAAAAACAGATCTCCATCCAGCACAGACAGACCCAGGTAGGTTGGGGACCAACACACTGCAGAGGTGTCCTCAGGAATAGGCCAAACCACATAGAAAGTCTGTAACTCTTCTCTTAGTCTTCCCTTTACCTTTGACTGTACCCCTTTGTGTAGTCTCTTCAGAATTGGTATTATGAGTATTTCAGGTTCTTTGGAAGGTGTTTTAACAGGTCTTTCTTCACCTTTCTGGTCATTACTAAGATGCGTGCTTGTACTGACTACAGTGTGGAATGGGGACAAGAGCACACATTTTGAAGGTTTCTGGGCCTAGGTTCAAATTCTGTCTCTATTGTTTACATTTAAATAATGTAAAATTAGGATGATTCCAATTGCCTCAGGCAGTGGTGGCAGTGGGCTTTCAATAAATGTTAATTTCCTACTTTAAGAAAGTAGTTTATTTCCTAAACTTGCTTACTTACTCACAAGACCTATTTATATTTCAAAATGTGTTATACCAACCAAATTCCTTCCTTAAGCAGTTTTCAGAAGTTTGGTTTTTTGTTTTTTTTTTTTAAACTTAGAGACTGTTGTAAACATTAACTGAGTGTGTCTGAGAGATTTTCCTATGGCTGTAAATCCTGGCAATGGGAAGACTAAGGCAGGAGAATCTTGGTTTCAAGGCCACCTCAGGCTGTCTGAATAAAAGAAAAGGAAAGGAAAAGAGTAGTAGATCTTTGCTCCAGCTGTCATGATAAGTTAGTTTATTGGGTGTTCTTGTCTGTGTTCCCCTCAACACAGGATGCTTGCCAGTCAAGAAGAGTATAACATCTTAATTTTATTGGAATCACCAATGTTTGGAGAGTGCTCAGAAGTTTCTGCCTTTCTACTTTCTCTCTGTTTCCACTAGAGGGCACTCTTGTTCCTAGAGACTTGTGTCCTGTCTCCTGAAATCCCTTTCTAGTCAAAGCTGGTTTTAGTTCTACAGTGTTACATATTTTTCATTCAATGTACAGTATTGTGAGGATTTATGTAGTTAACTCCAGATCTAATATTTTTGCAGTACGGGTTTAGTAGATGTTGCTAAGGTTTGAAGAATAGGATGAGTAAAACATATTTAATTTCCTGTGTTATCTATCCAGCTATTGATGTTAGCAAATGCATCTTCCAAAAAAAAAAAAAGGAAAAAAGAAAAATGTGATGGCATGTAATGTTTTGTGACTAATTCTAAATTTGTTTGCTTTTGTCTTTGTAGTCTGACCTCACAATAGAAAAAATATCTGCACTAGAAAACAGTAAGAACTCTGACTTAGAGAAGAAGGAAGGAAGAATAGATGATTTATTAAGAGTAAGTATGAGAGTACTAAGAGACTCTATAAGCACTTGTACATATCTGGGTCCTCTGCATATTGTGGATAAGTACTCTAGCCAGATAACACAGCAGACAGTAAGCACCTGAGGAGGAACTGGAATCATTCTAAATGCCTTCTTTAAGTTGGAGAATTTATGATACAGCATTTTGATCCTTGAATTTATGTTAGGGAAGCAGGTATGAGTTGTAGTCCATGTAGAACTATTGGATTAAGTTTCCCGTTTTTACCATTTGAAAATACTCATTTTTATATTCTTTTTTTTCCTTTTCTTTCCTTTTATTTTGAGACATGGTCTTTCTATGGAACTTGGCAGGCCTAGAACTCAGTATCTAGATTAAGCTGACTTTGAGCTGTCAGTGATCTGCCTGTTTCTGCTTCTGCCCCCTCTAACTTTTGTTGTTAACTGTTAAGTCATTTACTGGTTGTTTATATGTGTATGTGTGTGAGCTTGTGTGAATATATGTGCACCACATATGTGCAGGAGACCATGGAGGTCAGGAGTGGGCATTGGATCCCCCAGAAGCAGGAATTAAGTGAACCACCATGTAGATGCTGGGAATTGAATCTGGGTCTTCTGTAAGAGTAGTAAGTGCTTTTAACTGCTGAGCCATCTCTCCAGTCCTATATTTTGCATTTTAAAAACTTTTTTTATAAGAACCATTCATCTCATTTTGGTTTTTTTTAATACTTTCTGTACGTGTGTATGCATACATGTACATAACTGAGTCTTACTATGTAACCTTTACTGGCTTTCAGTTTATAATCCTCCTGCCACTGCTTCTACCTAACACCCTAGGATATATGTGTGTGTGTGTGTGTGTGTGTGTGTGTGTGTGTGTATATGCATATTTACCTTTCTCTCTCTTCTTTCCCTCATCCTCCCCACTTTTCCTTGATTTAGGATCTGATCATTTTTACCTGTTTTTAACATTTTTTCAACTTTTGCCTGTATACATATGTTAGCACCACATATATGCCTGATGCCTTTGGAGACTAGAAGAGGGCATTGAATCCTCTGAAACTGAAGTTACAGATGGTTGTGAGCTGCCATGTTGTTGCTGGGAAGGGAACCTGGATCGTCTGTAAGAGCTCTTAACTACTGAGCCATCTCTTTAGCCTTTAGTATTACTTTTTTGAAGACAGGGTCTCATGTATCCCAGGTGGCTATTTGTTACTTTAAAAAAAAACAAAAAACAAACAAACATATTTTGTGTGTGGGTACGCTTTTTGCCTTGGTCTGTATATAGAGGTCAGAGCACAGCCTGATACTCTTTTCTTCCATGTGAGTCCCAGGGATTGAATAAACTCAGGTCTGAAGACTTGGCATCAGGATTTTTAACCCACTGTACCTTCCTGCAAGTTTGTGTTCCTCTTAAAATTTGCTTTTGTTTTTGTTTTTTTGTTTGATTTTGGTTTTTTGTTAGTTTTTCGAGACAGGGTTTCTCTGTATAACTCTGGCTATCCTGAAACTCACTCTGTAGACCAAGCTGGCCTGGAACTCACAGAGATCCACCAGCCTCTGCCTCCCAGGTGCTGGGATTAAAGGTGTGCGCCACCACTGCCTGGCAAAAATTTGTATTTTTGACAAGACTCAGAAATAGAAGTTCTAGTGAGGACAACTGGCATCTCTTGGCAGTTTGTGCTTGGAAGTTTTCTTTGGCTTCCTTCATTCTCTTGGCCAAAAGTTTAACATATTCTGCATCTTCTTATTTTTCCGAGTACATTGTTTCTTCAGAATCAATATGCCAGTTTGTATGTTTCAGGACACCTAGAGGGGTACCAAGACACTCAGTCTTGGGTGCTTTGGTCCTAGGCTTCCTACCTTCTCTGTTTTAAAGACTTTCAAACGTTATATTAAGAGATATCATCTTCTTTTATCTATCTATTGTCTGTCTGTCTGTCTATCTATCTACCTGTTTATTATTTATACAACATTCTGACTCCATGTATGCCTGCAAGCCGGTAGAGGGCACCAAATCTCATTACAGATGGTCGTGAGCTACCATGTGGTTGCTGGGAATTGAACTCAGGACCTCTAAAAGAGCAACCAGTGCTCTTACCTTCTGTGCCATCTCTCCAGCTCCCATTATCTTCATTTGAGATACAGAATATTTGTAGGTTTTGCTAGATCATTTGGGCCCTAGAGCGAGGCAATTCCCAAATGTATATGTTCTTTTATATTATTAATAACAACAACCAAGCTGAGAACACTCAGATTGGCATCCACAGTACAACCCAAGCAGATTTACACTTCCTTTCTTTAGTTCTCCATTTTCTATAACGGGTATGTCCCTTAGGTCAAGATGCCTTGCTCTATAGGAACTTCTCTGCTGTTGTTCCCAGTGTGAGTTTGAACTATGTAACCTTTCCATTCTTCCTCCAGCAGTACTTGGCCGCACACTTACAGAAAGTATGGCATGTCTAGGAAGGAGATGACACTTAGCTTCATCTTGATGAAGCTCAAAATGTACTTTGAATATGCAATTTGTCATCACTGATCCACATTTTTTTTTAATTGAATGATTGGGCCTCTCTAGTGCTGGGATGAAAGGTATATGTCACCACACCCAGCATTTTGTGCATTTCAAACTGATGGTCCCATACCTCATTCAGAATTAACATTTTTTAGGGTCCCCCCTTTTTTTGGTTAAGTTTCCCCATAGTTGAAGGAGAAGAGCCATTTATTCTTAATAACAGTTTTACTTATATTTTGATAGTTTGTTTGAAGTGTTTTGTGTTTGTTTGTGTGTGTCTGTGTGTCTTGTATGCACATGTGAGGAGGGGATCAGGTTCATGTATGCTTGTTGTATGAGACAGCATCCCCTTTCACTTGAGCTAGGCTGGTGGTCATAAACCTCAGGGATCTTTCTCTGCCCCTCAGTGCTGTTTTCCATATTTATGTCTGGTTTTTATGTGGGTGTTAGGATTTGAACTCCATTGTCCTGTTCTTCTGCTGGATTCCCTGCTCATTGTCTTCTGTGGATTGAACTCACAGCTTCTTCTAGTTCCTTTTCTGTTGTTATGGAACAATTTGACCAAAAACAACTTAAAGGAGGAAAAGAAAAATATTTTCCTTGTTTTCCTATGCTAGTCTAGCATTGAGGGAGTCAGGACAGAAACTTGCAAAACCATAAAGACATGCTGCTTGTTGGATGGCTCTTTGGCACATGATTAGTTATACAGCTCAGGACCATCTGTAGGGATGGTGGAGCCCACAGTGGGCTGGGCCTCCTCCATCAAGACACTCACCCATAGACTTGTGTACAGGCTACTCTCATCTAGGCAGCTCCTCAGTCAAGTCATTGTCTTCTAGATTTTTTTTTAACTGTGTTAAGTTGACAGTTAAGATTAACCAGAACTGGGCCTCTTGGATGCTAATTACACAGGGTCTGCCACTGATCTGCACCCCTAAGCTTTTCTCCTCCTCTTACACACATACTCCACTTCTTTCTTTCTTTGAATATAAAGCTATGCCAAAGGAATGGATCCTTCAACAAAGAAAACTCAGAAGGGAAGCTGCAGTTTTTCTTCAAATATACTAGAAATTGTGGATTTGATTGGAAACACATCCCTCCCTTTCCTTTCTTTAGGCATTTTTTGCTTTAGACCTCAAGCTAGCCTCTAACTCACCGTTCTGCCTCAGCCTCTTAAATGCTGAGGTTATAGGTGTATGCCTGGCAGATTTTGTGTTTCTGTGCTAGAGAATGTTATGGGGTGAAATCACAGGTTTGGTTTGGTTTGGTTTTGTTTTAATTTCCTTTCAGGCAGGCATTAGTTCATCGTTGAGTTTTTCTGTTTTTTAGTGAGATGTTGGGTGACTGCATTGGGTATGTCAGCCAACTTCTACCCATAGCATGGACTCCTAGAAATGATTGTTAAAAACCATGCTTTAAACTGCCAGAGGCTGATTCTGTTCATTCCTTCAGAAACTTTGAGAGAACGTTCACCTTCCAGAAATGTGTTAAATTTTATATACGTACTACTTGGTCTTTTCCTTATAGGTTCTTCAGTATGAACTAGATAGTCACACTTCTCCAAGTGCAGTAAACTCTTCCTTTGTTAACATGGTCTTAAGGATTCTGCAGTAACAACTAGCAGGAATAATTATGCCTGTGTAGAGAGTAGAGGCAGAGACAGGCAGATTTTTTTTTGTTTTTAAGGCCGTCCTGATCTATAATAGTTCCAGTACATCCTACATGGTGAGCTCCTGTCTTAAAAACCAAAAGCAATAAAAGACGTTGAAGAGATGGCTCAGTGGTTAAGGACAGTTGCTATTCTTTCAGAGGACCCAGGTATGCTTCCTAACTCCTACCTGGTAGCTCACAAGCATCTATAACTCCAGTTTCAGGGAACCCAATGCTCTCTTCTGGTTTCAGAAGGCATGCACACATCACACAGATGTACATGCAGGCAAAATACCCATACATTTTTTTAAAAAAAAAGCTGAAAAGTCTCAGCAATTTTTTTGTTTGTTTCTATTAAAAAGTCTTATATCATTTAGTTGATAAACAAGATTTCCCCACTGTTCAAGAAAGTGATGTTATTTGGCAAGAGTAAGGTTTTTTCGTTTTGTTTTTCTTTTGTTTGTTTTGTTTTGTTTTTAAACAACTGAGGGATAAATTCAGGATTTACAAAGACAGATTTGACCTTGGGCTAGTGGTTCTTCCCTTCTGTGTTATTTTAGGAGCCTTGAATTTTTCAAAGTATCTAACCCATCCTGTAGGCTTCTGACCACAGCTAAATTAACTTAGACTCTCATATTCTTGAAACAGGATCTTATTTTTGTGTTGTGTAGGCATGGGTGTCCTGGCTTCTCTGGGGACAATCATCCGCAAGAGCTCATGTTTTTTTTCTCTTTAGAAATAAGCTGAGGACATGGTTCCTTGGTGAGCTCATGGTTAGCCGACTTACTCAGGGGCTTGGAGTGGCTCCGTAGCACTGCCAAAACAACTTCTAAGTTGAAAAACAAACAGAAGAGCTTTAACATAGATAGCACTCACATGGTAACACAAAGAATGGTTAAAGGGTTGAATTACTACCTTTATAGAGACATGCTTACTGCAGATAGTAATGATTTTTCTCTCTTCCTAGAAAGTACTTTTTACTAATCTACCTTCCTTAAAACTAATTAAAAAATATTTTTCTATCAAAGGCCAACTGTGATTTGAGAAGGCAGATAGATGAACAGCAGAAGATGCTAGAGAAATATAAGGAACGATTAAACAGATGTGTCACCATGAGCAAGAAGCTTCTTATAGAAAAGGTTAGTGATAATGTAGCCTGAAGTCTGTATCCTAAGATTTAATGTGTGTTATTGTGTAACACCTTAACTGAGATGAAAATATTGGAATAGGGGATTTCTGAAGAATAAAGTTCTAATAACTTGATAGCTAGAGGTGTTTCCTTGCTTGTACAACACCAGACCAAGACTTCCCAGGTGACAATATGGACATGGTTTCTGGCTATTTATTGCTTTGACTGGAAGGTTGACAACTTGTCCCTGTCGAGTTTATTTTAGGTTTTGGATGTCTCCTCCACTCTTCCCCCAACCCCGTTCCCTTTTGAAATGGTTTATCAACAGTATTTTCCTTTATAATACTATCATTTTCAGTTTGTAAAAATTGCTAATTAAAGTGTTATTTGTTTTGGTCCTTTTACCTTCAGTCAAAACAAGAGAAGATGGCATGCAGAGATAAGAGCATGCAGGACCGCTTGCGATTGGGCCACTTTACTACTGTCCGACATGGAGCCTCTTTTACTGAACAGTGGACAGATGGCTATGCTTTCCAAAACCTCATTAAGTAAGTCAACTGTCAGGGTCGAATAGGGGACTTTTAAATGAATTTGAATTTTTAAAGTTTTCTCTAATTATGGTCAGTAAAGAAATGGAGGATTGGGGCTAGAGAGATGACTCAGGGGTCAAGAGCATTGACTGCTCTTCTAAAGGTCCTGAGTTCAATTCCCAGCCACCCACATGGTGGTTCACAGCCATCTATAATAGGATCCGATACCCTTTTCTGCTATGCAAAACACTCATACATAAAATATAAATAAATAAAATAAAATAAAAAAAGAAACTTAGGATCAGTGTGGTGGTACACACTTGTATCCTGATACTCAAGAGGCTGAGCCAGGAGAATCCTGAGAATCATGGTTCCATGATGTTTTAAAAAACTGACATAGAAAATCAGAAGAACAAAAACTTGAGCTTTCCTGAAGCTAAGGAAGACAGAATCAGGGTTTTACTTGATTGCTTTTTAATTAATAGTGATTTTTTTTTTTTTTAAATACTGGTCTCAATCCCAACGTCTCATGTGGGCCTCACATTGTAGGCCAGTGTTCTGTTAGACCCTCAGTCTCTGGGTGGTACACTTTGATAAGAAACCAACTGGACAAAAAGCAGTAGAAACTCTGGGACTGAGCATAAGACAAAACTATAAGGAACTTTGTGAAACATGTCCATGGAGCTCTTTACAAAGATGGTGACTGATCATCAGCAGTAGTCACTTCCTTGAGGCCAGGGCTCCACCAGTGGTCAGGCTAGTGACCAACCTTCTGCCCACTTGTCTACACCTTAGAATCCTGAATACTTCTCTATCTCAGAACTTTTGGTTTTAAACACATAAGCATTTATTCCAAATTGGGAATTCATGTTTAAATCACCAAATTTGAACTGCGAGTAACTGTTAGCTCAAGATTGAAAAAGAAAATATGTGGACACACATCTGTGAATCTTTATTCCGAAAGTGGTGATATATATCTGTAATTCAGCACTTGGGAAATGGAGGCAGAAGAGTTGCCATTAGTTCAAGGCCAGTCTGGGCTACAAAGTAAATTTGGACCTGCCTAACCTATATGATGAGAACCCTGCATCAAAAACAAAACAGACAGTATGTGTGTGTTTGGTTGTATATCTATAATGTTACCTTAATTTTATTTATTTTGATTTGTTAGGTTAATTTTATCTAAGACTAGAAGATGGGTGAAAACCGTTGTATTTTTTATTAGTAATTTACTTATTTCCTATACTTAGGATTGAAACTAGGACCACATGCCTGCTAGACAAACACTCTTCCATTGAGCTAAATAAACTATTTTTAATCAAAATACTCTCCAACTTTTGATCTCTAGATAGATCTTTTCCATTTTTCTTTGTTGAAATAGATTGTTTAATGTGAATTGGAGAGCATGTTATTACTTTTAAGCAATAATGAATTATAAATAACAGATTGATCCCTGAAAGAAAACTACAAATATCTTTGCTATATATAATTAAATACTTCATTATAACTAACCTGAATTATACATTAGTCGTAATTTTTGGTGTACAAAACATCAACTGCAAACTTAGTTCAAGTGTGTTTTTGCTTTGCAAATGTACCAAATAGGTGTTTTGTTTTGTTTTTTTAATAAGAAGAGGCTGTCAAATCAGAGAATATCCTGAAAGTAAAACAGACTTGTGCATCATACCCAATAGGGGTACAGAATATCGTCTTCGTCTTCTGTTAGCTAGGCATACCTCTGTAGTTCAAGTGCACTAAGGCAGTTCCGCCAAGGCATGCTATCCATGGCACCTTTTCCAAGATGAACAAATTGCCCATTCAATATTTGTGGGGAGCGGGGGTCAGTTGATATTGCTACTTAAATCTTCTTTAGTAGCCTAAGTTGTATAATATACTCAGACTGAATCCCAGGTAGGATAGTTGTTCCTACTGGTCTTTGACAATGGCTACTTGTTAGATGATAGTCATTTTTGGCTTTGATGCAAAAAACTGGTTGCCATGTATAAGGAAATGAAATAAATTTTATTTTAAAAAAGAAATATAGCTTTTGCTGATAGCATTTTTTTGTGTGTCAGCAACCTAATACCTAGAAGGTTCTGATAATTTTATATTGGGCAAAGAGTATAAAAATGATGATTTTGCTAAAAGAGCAAAATGAGACTTAACAATAAAGATTCTAAACTCAAATTGGTCCCTTGGGTGGGTAGGTTTTTGTTTTGTTTTGTTTTTTTAAATGGATTTAAGTCAACATAAATAGTGGGCTGTTCTTCCAGTCTCTTGGGAAGCTGTTTCTGGCTGATACCCCGTAGTTGTAGGTATTTTATTTCCTAATGTTCTGCTCCAGTAAATTACTTTTTTCACTTTTCTTGTCATGTAGCTTTGTTGGCCTAGAACTCAGGATCCTCCCACCTCAACCTCTGCAGTCCTGCTAGTACAGGCGTGTGCCACCACACTGCTCTCACTTTCAGTACAGGTGTAAGGGAGTGTGTATGATTACTTGACAAATGGTGTTTCTATGCATAAGAAACCACATGACTAGCCAGGTGTAGTAGTTCATACCTGTGATTCCAGCAGTCGGAGTCTAAAACAGGAGGATTGCCAAGAGTTCTGGGTCAGCATGGGCTACATAGTTTCAGGCCAGTCTTTTTCTTTCTTTCTTTCTTTTTAAAAATAAAAAAGGAAAAGAGTAAGGAAAAGAAAGTAGATAAAGAAATATATACCTTTAATCACAGTGCTTGGAGGCTGTGAGGGAAGAGATTTATGAGCTCTAGACCAGCCTGGCTTTATAGCAATACTTGTCCAAAAACGAAAGAAATATATGTAACCAGTTGGTGGTGGCAACACAGGTGGTGGTGGTGGCGCACACCTTTAATCCTTTAAGCACTCGAGAGGCAGAGGCAGGTGGATCTCTGAATTTGAGGTCAGCCTGATCTACAAGAGCTAGTTCCAGGACAGCTAGGGCTTCACAGAAAAATCCTGTCTCAACCCTCCACCCTAACAACAACAAGGAATGTAAACTATGACATATACAATAGTTTGTGGGTGAAGAAGCTAAATACCAGGCACCATAACTAGGTTTTATGGGAAGATCCAAGCTCCAAAATCATTAGATCTTAAACCTAGAGCATACAGACAGCCTATACAGAAACTTCAACATGTTGACTTACTTTTTTCCTTGTCTCATATTTGAGATATCTTTTAATTCTCTAAAAGAAAGCTTTACTGTATCAGTCTCATAGTATTTTTGGCTAGAATATACTTTTTTGCTTTTTAAAATGTTCCACTTGTTGAAAGAGCAGTTTATAGTTCTGAGAAAGATGTTAAATATTATTATTCAGAGTACTGTTTTATTTAAATAGGTTCCAAACAGTCAGTGGCAAGGCAGTAAGATTCTTTGTGTTGAAATAACATTAAATAAATATAATTTGACATGAGTGCAAAATTATGGTCATTTAAGAAGTAGAATAGCAGTGAAGATAAGCTAAATTACAGTATTGCCATGCTTGTCTAGGCTTTGCTCAGATGTGGAAGGATGTCAAAGCATTTTCTAGGGTATCATCTAATTCTTAGGCAGATCCATACTAAGACAGTTTATTCTGTTGCTTGAGTGTCAGGTCATGCTTAGGTGGTCCAGACTCTTCCATGGCTGTGTCTGTGCAGAATATATGAAATCCTGAGATTATTTTAAGAATCATTTTTGGAGAGGTTAGTTTGCTGTTTGCTATTTGTAGAAATTTTTTTTAAATGGAAGAAGTTAAAATAATATCTAAAAATCTGTTTTTTCAGCTATATTGCCTACTAGTTATTTAGAGTCTGTTTGGGTCTGGAATGCACTTTGCTGTTGAAGGTGCTAGCTTCAAAACATCAAGCTTCATGGTTTAAAACAAAAGAGAAATTTGCTTTTTCATACTTCAGGAGGCAAGAAAGTCCAAAATCAAGGTGTGATAGGCCTAAGCTCCAGAGGTCAGTCAACCTTGGCCCTTCCCTAGACTAGGTGTCCAAGGGCTATAGTTTGTGACATAGCTTCAGGTTCTACCTCTGTCTTCACATGGGATGCTCTTGATGTGGCTGTTTGCGTCCTCCTGTAATAGCATCGGTCATTGAATTTAAGGCTCACTATGCCAGCATGACTTGTTAACTGCTTCAGTGACCCTGTTTCCAGATAAAGTATTATTCTGGAGTTATTCTGGTGGTAGGGCATATTTGTTACTTTTCCTAACAGGTAACACTTGAAGAAGGACAGACTTATTTTTAGTTCCCTGTTGAGAGGGTATATAGTTCATGGTAGTGGGGAAGGCATGGCCACTGTAGCAGCTAGGTTCATGATGGTTAATACACAAACACACACACACACACACACACACACACACACACACACACACACATGTGGTGGAGTGAGTGAATACACTAGCAGAGGGAAATGAATACATTAAAAATAGTTGGTAAGGGGCTGGAGAGATGGCTCAGTGGTTAAGAGCACTGGCTGCTCTTCTAGAGCTACACTCAGGTTCAATTCTCATCATCTACGGCAGCTCAAAACTGTAACTCCATTTCCAGAGGATCTGACACCCTCACACCAATACATATACAATAAAGTATATTTTAAAAGTATATTTAAATATATTTTAAAAATAGTTGGTAATGTCCATTTCCTGTTATAAGACATATTATGATGTGATGGGATTTTTGTATTCCCAAAGTAAATCTAAATAAAGGACAATGCTTAATTGACCTTATTATTCATATACACAGCTAAACAGTTATAAGAACATCTAAGGGTTGATAGAAGAATATTTATGATGCTGATTGTTGCTGTGTCTGCTTTTATGCCTAGGCAAGAGTTCTCAGAATAAGTAGTCTACGATTTCTTCAAATATGTTTTGGAACTTTTGTACCCTGTGTTTATGGTATATGTATATATAGATGGAAAGTCATGTAAATATGATGGTCATAAGCCTCCTTTTTTGTTGAGTCTGAATAGATTAAATGTATGCATTCATAATACTGTACCTTTTTTTTTTGTGGTTTTGTGGGACAGGGTTTCTCTGTAGCTTTGGTGCCTGTCTTGGAGCTCTGTAGATCAGGCCTCTGCCTTCCAAGTGCTGGGATTAAAGGTGTGCACCACCACTGCCCAGCATAATACTGTATACTTTAAAGGCATAATGTTGTACAGTGCACTAGGCCACTCTCCTGTAGTTTCAGCATTATCTTGTATGGTAATTGCCAGAGTTAGAATGCATTATACTCATGACCTCTGAGAGGCTGGGTGTTTTGTACCAACAATTCTTAATTAAATGCCAATTTATTTTCTTTGCTGGAAAAAAAAAGAGGGAATCTGAAGGTTGTTCCTTTCAAGTCTATAATGTCCTAACATATACTTAGCCACTTTCCCTCACCTTTAAGTCATAAGTAGTGCCTTAAAGTACAGGCTTATTCCAAAAACACTCTTCCTGTTTGGCTCTTAAACCCTGAGGGTTAACTATAGACCTCTTTCCATGAAGTTGTCAGACATGGAGGTGAAAGTTGTTTGTGTTCATTCCACAGCAATGACAACTAAATTACTTACCTTTTCTGTGCCATATCTTTTATATTTCTAGGCAACAGGAAAGGATAAATTCTCAGAGAGAAGAGATAGAAAGACAACGAAAAATGTTAGCAAAACGGAAACCCCCTGCCATGGGTCAGGCCCCTCCAGCAACCAATGAACAGAAACAACGAAAAAGCAAGACCAATGGAGCTGAAAATGAAACGTATGTTCTTGATGATGTAAAATGAAATGTCCTCTATCCCCCGAATACCCCTTGTTGAATACCCCTGGAAACATCTATAATTTAAAGAGGCCCCTAGAATTTGCAGATTTATTTTTCCAGATATGTTAATGGATTTGTTTAACTCATATTAAAAACTATATAAAATATATTAGCTGATTTTCCTAGCTATTCACTCGTTATTCAGAAAGTGTGAAATGAGAGAGAAAAGTACTGTTGCTTATAGATAGCATATGTTTTGTTTTGTCTGTTCAAAAGAAATTTATCATTATTTTTACTTATGTGTAACTCTAGGTTAGGATAAATTGGTATCATTTTATGGGAATTGGTGTTATGGAAATTATCTGGCTAATAGCTTAGAATGTTCTTTATTGTTTAAAAGAAGTGCATCCTTAACACAAGCTTAGGAGTAAGCCAGAGGGTCTGAAGATGACTCTGTGCTTAAGAACACTGGCTGCTCTTGTAAAGGACCAGAGTTCGATTTCCATCTCCCACATGGCAGCTCACACACAACTGTCTGTAACTCCAGTTCCAGGAGATCTGATGCCCTCTTCTTACTTACAAGGGCACCAGGCATGTACATGTTACACAGGCATACATGTAGTTAAAACACCCATATGTATAAATCTTTTTTAAAAAGTAAGCCAAGAAAATAGTAGCTGTTATTTTAGAAAAAGAATATTTTATGATACGACAATTCTTGACCTTATAAGCATTTCCTCACCCTATTACCCCCATTCCCCCATATCCCATTCTGGAAACCTAAGGAAACCACTAGTCAGCACTTCTCAACCTGTGGGGTCTTGACCCCTCTGGGGGTCAAATGATCCTTTCAGAGGTGTTGCCTAAGAGCATCAGAAAACACAGATATTTACATTACGAGTCATAACAATAGCAAAATTAGTTATATAGCAGCAACAAAAATAATTTTACAGGTTGGAGGTCAGCACAACATGAGGAACTGTACTAAAGGGTTGCAGCGTTAGGAAGGTTAAGAACCAGTGCTCTAGTATCTTAAGGTATAGTCATTTTTTTTTCTGTCAGTCAACAGTTATTACATAGCCGTCTTGCACCAGAGTATAGAAAATCCTGGACTTAATACCTTTTCTCTCCATTCTTTTCTTCCTTTGTCTTTAATTGAAAGTAAATTTCTTACCCGAAATTAGTACAGACAAACATGGACACAGACAATTATATAAGTATTAATATGTGTTTTTTTTCTTTGTGTGTATGTGTGTGTGTGTGTGTGTACACAGAAACACATCCTATAATCTGTGCCACGTATGCTACTTACATTACATTACAGCTGTGTTAAAAGTTCAGGAACTGTATCTTCCTTTGTTTAAGAGAAAGATGCTTAACCAGTCCCCACCCCATGTTAAGAAGTCTGTCCTTTGACGTGTGTGTAGTGCAGAGCTTATAGGAAACAGCCCCCGTTTTATGTGTTTATATAGGAGAGATGAATATCTGAATAAACTAAAATTCACAGTAAGTATAGTAATAAAAATATCCGTAGTAAACCAAATTTGAGAAACACTTTTTCTCATATAACAGTATTTTTATAACTAGAATGTTTTCTGTCACAAAGTCCTTGTATTAGATTTAAAGATTCTCTAGACAACCCAAGTCGTTTTCTTTCATGAGTCCTGTGGTTATTTGCAGAGGGATATACCTTCCAGTATTACTTGAAAATTACTTAATGCTGGTGCATGAAACCATTGGCTTAAGAATGATAAAGAAGGGGCTGGAGAGATGGCCCAGTGGTTAAGAGTACTAACTGCTCTTCCAGAGGACCCAGGTTCAATTCCCAGCACCCACATGACAGCTAACAACTGTCTGTGACTCCAGTTCCAGGGGATCTGATACCTTCACACCAATGTACATAAAATAAAGTTAAATAAATTATAAGAAAAAAAAGAATGATAATGAAGGTGTGGAGTGTGTGAGCATGCATGCCACGAATACACACCACAGAACAATAATTAAAATTTAATCCAGACCAGTAGTGTGTTCATGAGTGCTTACCATCTGGAGTCTTGTGTAAAATCCAAGCTGGAAGACTTTCAGTCCACTCTGTAATTAAAATGTCTGTGACTTGGCTCTTTCCACTGACCAGAAGCCAAAAACAGGCCTCTAGCATGCATCACATTATCCCTTCCTGGTATGGAACCTGTTAAAAGGCACGGAGAATTCTTAGATGTCATTTACCTCTTTCCTCTCTCTCTCCCTCTCTCTCCCTCTCTCTCCCTCTCTCTCCCTCTCTCTCCCTCTCTCTCCCTCTCTCTCCCTCCCTCCCTCCCTCCCTCCCTCCCTCCGTTCTTATTTCTCCCTTTTTCACTGTAGTGAAATGGAGTACTAGATACAGGTATTCCTGTAGTTGTGGACTAACTGCAGTAGCCCTAGCAAATGTGTTGTTACTTTTTTACTCTTGTATTTTCTTATAGTTGAATCTCAGAGGTTTTATTTTATGTCTTTTTATGCTAAAATGATAGCTGTGTTCTTTGTCCCGGTAATTCAGTATGCATGTAAATAGTGAAATTAAAAACCTTTGAAGTAGATGAATGTGAGAGAGGTAGAAATGGAGAAAATTCACTTCTTTATTCTTAGGATACAGGATGTGTGCTTGGAGTAGGTGGAACTAAGAATGAGTGTTTGTCTATCAAGTTAGCCCTTTCTTCTGCCTTCTTTTTACATTTTCATTAAATAGTTAAAACATTTTGTTAGGTGGGTATTATGACTTATATAACGTGTTGCCAAATATTTCATAAATAATGTAAAAATATGGCTCATATGTTTTTCTTTCCTTAAATTAAACTTATTACGGGTTTTGAGTCTTGTTCACATCTCATCTGAAATTTTAATCAGAGGACTTCTAAATAACCTGGCTCTTAATCATATTGAATATGAAAGCCACATATGCCCTAGAAGCATACGTTGAGCATTTTTGTTCAAATAAGCATGTTATTACTTCATATAATTTGCTGAAATTGTGCCATTGTTTTTCAGGTTAACCTTAGCAGAATACCATGAACAAGAAGAAATCTTCAAACTAAGATTAGGTCATCTTAAGAAAGTAAGTATAATGGAAAACTGTTTTTCAAGAGATGTAATTTCCACTTTACATTTGATATAGAAATGATTTGGCTGTTTGGACAAATAGAATTGTAGCTTTGTATGATGTAAGAATTCTGCATTGCTACTCTTATTTTCTGGCCTTGTAGTCTAGTAGGATTTTTATTTTCAAGTCAATGCAAGCCACTGAGTATGCTTTACCCCAGTGACCTATCTGCTGAAAATGTGTCAATTAATAGAGCTACCCAAGTGACTATCCTTAAAGCAGAAATTAAATATACAGGACTAATATGTCTGAAATTGATGGAAGGACTCCTGTGTTAATCTGAGTAACATCAGCAGCTCTTCTTGCCTAAAATAATTAAAGAGAATATATTCCACCATCCATATTCTAACACCTGAAAGAATTTTTTGGTGATAGTCACTGAGATAGCTTTTCATTGAGGGTCAGAGACATGGTGTCTCTTTTTATTTTTTGTTTTTGCTTTTTTTGTTGTTGTTGTTGTTGTTTGGTTTTGGTCTTTTTTTTTTTTTTGAGACAGTCTTGTTACATAGCCCAGGCTGGCCTTGAACTCAGGATCATCCTGTCTCAGCTTCCTAAATACTGGGATTACAGGAATGGGGCAATGTGTACCTTGTTTATCATTTTCATGTGTGTGATGAGGTGTTTTTTGTTGGTGGTGGGTTAGGGTGCGTGTGTTCATAAGAACCCAAGATTTTAAGGATGCTCGACAAGTGCTTTACCATAGGCTTAACATCTCTAGCTCCAAATTATCATAAATGTAGAATGTAGAATTTTTTTTTTTAAAATCTCTTCTATTGACCAACCCAGGTGCTGATGAAATGGCTTAGCTGTTAAGAGAGCTTGCTGCTCTAGAGGACCTGAGTTTGGTTCCCAGCATGTCTGGCTGCTCATCACTGCCTCTAACTTCGGTTCCAGAGTTCTGACATCCCTGGCTGTCACCTGTACACATGGCATGCATATAGAAAGAAATCCATACACCTAAATGAAAAAACAAAAACTTACAAATTTCAGTAGCCCATACATTATTGGTGAATGCTATTTATGATGATGGTGTTCAATAAGCATCTAATAAATTGTTACTGATGGTGACTTTTTATGTCACATTAGTTTTCATATATAGCACACACGAACATACACTTACATATGAGTTCTTAGATATTAAATTAGTGAAATTTAAGGTATTGAGTATAATTTATACCAAAAGTAGAGAATCAGACTATATACCAGACTTTTATAAGGTTTTTGCAAAGCCTGTATATATATGCATAAAACATTCCTGGAAAGTTCCCAGAGGTTACGTCTGAGGAGTGGGTGATGGAGTAGCAGACTGACTAATCTTTTCAATACAGCGTGTCTTCTGTTTGTTTTTTACAAGTGAAACAGATGTCATTTTTAAATGAAAAGGTAAAGTTCGCTGGATTCTGAGCTTTTTTTTTCCCCCCCCTTTTCAGGAAGAAGCAGAAATCCAGGCAGAGCTGGAAAGGCTAGAAAGGGTTAGAAATCTACATATCAGGGAATTAAAAAGGATACATAATGAAGATAATTCACAGTAAGCAACTTGGGTTATAATGGGCTGGAGGTTGCTGAGTATTTTATGACTTGTATGGTCCAGAGCAACGTTTTCACTTCTAAGTTTGCCAAATGAATCTAAAGTCTATTTAGTTCCTTTTGAACAAAATTATGTTGGTATTAATAAGTAAGCTTATATATGTATCTGTTCAGCATTTTACATGAGTAAAGTTTTACACAGTAGAGCTTGGCAGCTATCAGGGTGGACGGGGTATGGCATATAGACATAGCCTTGGAGCCTTGAGGAGTGGGAAGCATTGGCCACAGTGTTGATGTAGAAGGGTGAAATGACTTCCATTTTCTGAGTAAACTAGTATGTCTCTTAAATTTAGCACAGTAATTATAGACCCACATTCACCTTTGCTCATAAGCCATTTATATTGCTGAAATTCAGAAAAAGTAGCTTACATGTGGGAAATGGCTCTCATCACTGATTAGTTCTTTCCTTGTGTTGCTGAAGCTATAACTTTTTTTTCATGTAGCTACGGCTTGAATATTTTTGTTTGACCATGTGAACCATGACCATTATTCTGTCAAGTGGAAGGTACCAGCACTTACCATTTCTTGTGAACTTTATGTATCAGGAAGGAGTCTAAGTGCCCTTTTGATCTCACACTTAATCCTCATAACAAGTCCATAATCTTGCACATATCAATCAGGAAACGAGTTAGAGAAATGAAATTAATTTGAATAGAAGCCCAAATGAAGAGTCAAATTAATTTAAACTTTCATGTAATAATATTATACAGGCACACTGCTTTCTTAAATACAAAATAAAGGAATTTTAGGATTAATAGGGAGATCGTTTTAATTTTTTTTTTTTTAAGTACTGGAGTTGGAGTGTAAGGCCTCATGCAAACTAGGCATGCAGTCCACTACCAAACTGTATCCCTAGCTGTCTTTGTACTTCTGGTTTTGAGATAGGGTCTCACTATATAGCCCTGGCTGGCCTTGAGCTTTCTTTCATTTTCCCTCTGCCTCCAGAGCACTGAGATTATAGGAAGAATCACTTTTGGGAATACACTGTATCCTAGTTTTAGATTTACCATAGACTTATCTAAAGAGGGAAAAATGAGTTGGGTTGGTTCGTACAAATCTATATGTATTACAAGCACTTGGGAGGCTAAAGCCAGAGTATAATGAGACCCTGTCTCAAAACCAATAAAGGCGGGCCATTATGGTGCATACCTGTTACCCCAGTGCTCGGCAGGCTGAGGCAGGAGGATTGGGATTTCCAGGCCAAAGTATGCCCTGTCTCCAAAAACTCAATTAGCTGGGTATGGTGATACACAACTTTAATCCCTGCGTTTGGGAGCGAGAGGCAAGTAGATCTCTGTGAGTTCAAATCCAGCTTGGTCTACATAGTGAGTTCCAGGCCAACCAGGACTACATAGTAAGAACCTGTCTCAAAATGGGGGGTGGGGAAATTCGCATAAAACACCTGAAATGCTTTATCTTTAAGGCAATATAAAAATACTTTGGAACTTGATATAGTTTTAAAATGGTGAGAAAAGGGAATGGGATCAAAAACGGCCCCAAGTTGAGATGTGGCTACTAAGACAAGAACCAGTATCAGGCTTTAGCAACTTTTACTATTTATTATAATTGCACTGTGAAACTTTGTGCTTATAGTTCGTTGTATTGATATCAGTTGTCAAACTCTCAGCAGTGGCTTTATGTGGAAGACTATATTCTTTGACTTCAGGATATTACATATTCCGTTTCCACAGATTTAAGGATCATCCAACGCTAAATGACAGATATTTGTTGTTACATCTTTTGGGTAGAGGAGGTTTCAGTGAAGTTTACAAGGTAAGTAGAAACAACTGGGTACAAAGAGAGGGTAATACTGATTTGTAGAAATTTTTAATATTAAGGACTGTGTATTTATTTCTGTAGGTTTAAATTCAAAAGTTTTATGACTAAGACCTTTAAGAAAATTGCTTCCAGTAAATTTTGTTCTTAAGACATTTTCACACTTTAGCCCAGACTTTCTCTAAGTTTACAGTATAATTCAGGGTGGCTCCCACTCTTGGCAATTCTCCTGCCTCAGCCGTCCAAGTACAGTACCACGTCATTTTGAAGTGTAGCATCAGTGGCATTAAGGACATTCACAGATGTGTACCTGTCAGCACTGTGGACCATGGCTGTGCCTTTAGGGCAGGGCTGATTAGATTTTCAGTACGCTCTTCATACTTAGTTTTACTGTTAAAGTCTGTGCTGGTAAATCTTACTGACAGGCACATGGCCACCTTTTGTTTTGCAAGTACCATGCTTGAGCTTTGATGACATGGTTATCCTAGCTCCTTAGAAAGAGTTGAGATTAGGGAGGGCATTGCTAGTTTGTTGAAGGTTTTATGTACCTGACTTAGCAACTCACCTGTGTAGTAGCCATTTTGCAAGAAAACTTTCATCTTTTTTCTTTCTTTTTAAATTACTATTCTTTTAAAACAATCTCTCATTTTACATACCAATCCCAGTTCCTACTCCCTTCTGTCCTCCTGCTCCCCCCATCTTCTTCCCACCCTACTCCACTCCCATCCACTCCTCAGAGAGGGTAAGGCTTCCTATGGGGAGTCAAGACAGTCAGGCACCCCACTTTGAGGCAGGACCAAGACCGTCTCCTCTATATCTAGGCTGAGCAAAGCCTTTCTTTTTAAATCAAACATTTAAAAATGAGTTAGCAGCCGAGTAGTGGTGGCACATGCCTTTAACCCCAGCACTTGGGAGGTAGAGGCAGGCAGATCTCTGTGAGTTTGACGCCAGTCTGGTCTACAGAACGAATTCCAGGGCACCCAGGGCACCAGGGCTACACAGAGAAGCCCTGTCTTGAAAAACTAAAAACAAACAAGCAAAACAGTAATTAACTCCTACAAAATAGACGACCGTGCCTTGACCAACGCCTATTACTAGACCTGAGGCTTTTCCGTCCTTGTCAAGAGGCCATGCTAACCTCTCCTTTCATAAACATTGTTCCTCCCACAGATAACTTCTGTTCACAATTTTCTATCCTTTTTGTTGGCTTTGATAAGCATTAGTGCTCTCACAGACTATGTAATATAACCTAGTTTTTAATATCTTGAAGTGGTTTTTAGAGTAAAGCCATAATGGTATGTATATTCTTTAGCATGAGAGAAGTATATTTGTTTCATTTCTGTGAAGCATGTTCTTTCTACTATATACTCATTTTGCTTTAACCTGGGTGACAAGTCCCTTATTTCTAATAACAGCTCTGGGGGGGGGGGGCCCGGTTTGGACATTGCTTTTCTAGAGAAACATTGGGGAGACCTGTGGAACAGTGATGGTTTCTGTTCCTGGTGGGCGTACTGTGCAGCCATGTGTTCATTTGTAAGAACTGATAGAGAAGAATTGCTTGCCCAGTGCTAGGCCCGCCAGCACTGCTGCTCTTCAGGAAAGCCTGTCCCTGTGCACTACTGTTGGGATTCAGATTTTTATTTTACTCAGTACATAGATGTGGCCCTAAATAATAAGATTGGGATTTTTTATTTTGTTTTGTTTTTGTTTCTGTTATTTTAGTAAACACAACATACCGAGTTATGAGATACTTTGTGATGGTCATACCAATGATCATATCCATCTGGGTTGTTTTCTATAGGAAGCCATCAGTGTATATTTCAGGATTTCAAAAGTAGGGAGACAGTGTTGACACATGTGAGCTCCCTAGACTCGGGAGAGACAACCTTGAGAGAAAGGTCCTAGGTGGGGAGAGATGATGTCCAAAGTGAACATTGTTGGGAGGAAGTGTCAGGGCATAGGTTGGCTTCTGCTTTTGGCGTTTGCTTAAGTTTGTCTTATAAATCCCACGGTGCCAGTGTGTCTAGAGACTTGTGAATTATCTAATCACAAGTTTCAAGAGGATGGTTGCAACACTGGAGCAAACAAGACGTGCTGTCATTTGCTGCCGCTTTCATTTCATAATGTGTTTTGTACTTTGTGTTGATCTGTTAAATAAAAGCTTCAAGTTAGTTCCCTGTAAATCTTGTTAGTATTTATGTAAAATATAAAATATTCCTTTTTTTATAGGCATTTGATCTAACAGAGCAAAGATACGTAGCTGTGAAAATTCACCAGTTAAATAAAAACTGGAGAGATGAGAAAAAGGAGAATTACCACAAGTAAGTGATGCTGAAGTGTTTGATTTCTCCACCCATTGATGATAACTATGATTTGTGCATCATGAAAGAGATTTGGATGAATTGTTGTTGGTTTTCTTTCATCTTCCTAATTGTCTCAGCAAGGGAAATATATTCTGCATCTTACCAATGAGAAAACTGTTTGAAAACCGAGACCATTAGAAGCTAAATTTAAATGCAACCATCCCTCAATCTGAAGCCCATATTTCTAACTCCCCTTCTATTGTCTCTAAAGACAGTTATATTAAGCAAGGAAGGCACCAGAAACCATTATTTGTCTTCAGAAAGCCAGTGAGAATGCCCAGTCGTCTGGGAAGGAGACAGTGGGGCTAAAAGGATGGAGTCCTGCTGTGTCTCAGTGGTGCATGCTTGACTTTAGCCCCGTAGTATGGTGTTCTTTCTTTTCCCTGACTTGTCTGTTTGCCCACCTCAAAATTCTCTGATTTGCCAGGCAAATCAGGGGGGTGGTGGCAAATACCTTTAATCTCAGCACTCAGGAGACAAAGGCAGTTGGATCTCTGTGAGTTCGAGACCAGCCTGGTCTACAGAGTAAGTTCTAGGACTGGCTCAGTAGGTACTGAGAAACCCTGTCTCAAAAAACAAAACAACAAAAAAACAAACCCAAAAACAACAGCGAGCTTTTGTGATTTTCGTGCTCTACTTCCTATGGTTGCCTCTCTTGAGAACATCAGTAAAGTGGTAGTCCTCCTTTGTCCCTAGATTGAAGAGAATAAGGGGGTAGTTTCCTCAGGTTACTACATATGCAGGTTATGTAGTAGCTCAGGTTACTACATAGTTACTGCATATGCAGCTGTGGATTTCTTTGATCCACTAATGTTGGGTTTTGCCATAGTCCCTCTTGAGCTTCTGAATACTGGAGTTCATGGCTCATTTGCTTTGGAAGCTCCAGACTTAATTTGCTTATTAGATTCCCTACTGAGCAGTTTTATCTCCTTGTGGTGGATGTAAGTATTGAATGAGACAGGTCTGTCCCTGAAAGGAGGAGACAAGCCCCTTTGACAGTAACAAATGGTTCTTGTTATGGAGACAGCCTTCGTGTTTTGCTGTTTTTTCTTCATAAGACTTTGGAGCACAAAAAAAAAAAAAATAAGAATTGAAGAAGCCTTTTTCTTAACTTCTGAGTCTTAAAAGGAAAATCAAGTAGTTTCTCAACAAACAGTTCTTCATGTCTGGACTGGGGCAACTCTTACTTTAGACCTGTTGTACACCAGGGGCCTGCTAGGTCTTTCTGTTCCACACTGATTGGTAGCAGAGCTCAGTGCTGCGTGAGAGAAGTCAACTTTACGGAGAGGGAGGACAAGGGGTGATATATGCCTTGTGCACAGTACCCTACAAGCAGCTGCAGCCCAGATGTTCCCGAGGAGCCAGATACATTATTAAAAGTGCATTCCAGTCACTTGACGTCGGGGATGAATGGCATGTGTTAGTGAATGCCAGGAACACTTCAGAGAAGGAAACTACATGTTCTGGTCAGTTATTAATGAAAATTGTCATTGCTATGTTGAGACTTGTAGGAGTGGTTAAGGGTGTTGAACCAAAACATGCACCTCTACAGGTACCCTATAGGTGTCCTTGAAGCCTGTTCTGTAGCTTACCTGTACAATGGCCTCTGTAAAATAGTTGGTTCTAGGGACCAAGTTTGATCAACCTTGAGAACATAATTTCTGTGTTGGGACCTGTACATATTTTGCCAAGTTGTAGACTCCCAATGTAGCTTTTAGGCTGACCCTAAGAGAACTGCGATATTGGATACCAGAGTGACTTTGGAAGGTCATTCAGCTCATCTGGCCATTTGGAATGGATTAAATCTGAGTCTTGGTCCCTCCTTGGCATTCTTAAGCAGTTTGAGCCCTGGTGGTTATTGATTGAGATGTTCTGTTTCAGTTTTACTTTTACTTCTTTGAGACAGGGTCTCATGACTAGACTAAGCTGCCCTCAAACTTAAAGCGATTTTCCTGCCTCTGTCTCCTGTAAGTGTTAGGACTCCAAACATGTGCTCCCGTGCCCGACCATCTGACTGTCTTTCTCTTATCTCTCTGCTGGAAATAGATCAAGTGAGGGGCTGAGAGATGGCTATGATTCAGAGCACTTACTCTTCCAGAGATCCTGAGTTCAGTTTCCATCACCATATGGGTGGCTTACAACCAACTATAACTCCAGTTCCAGGGCATCTTACGCTTTCCTCTGACCTCTACAAATGCACACACACATGGAACCACCCCACCCCCATGCACAGACTATCATTCATACATCTAAATAAAAATGAGTCAAGGAGAAGGAGATAGACTGATAAACTGACATTGTTTCCTATGTCTAAACTTTGCTAACCAGAGCTGGGTGTGGTCCCTTCTCACTGTTCTCCTCAAGAGGGATAATGGCATCTGAGTGTCTGTGGAGTCCATTGTCAGAGGCCATTTCCCAGCTGACATCCTAAGGAAGGGGTGTTCTTACGACCTCCAGGTACTTGGGAGGAACTCTTCAACACTTCCACCTTTGATTTTGCTAAGTGACAGGAAATCCTGCTTTGAACCTTGTGCTATAAATGTAAGTAGGGACTGGAGGGATGGCTCATCAGTTAAGAGCACTTGTTGATCTTGCAGAGAGCCCAGATTCAGTCCCTAGCACCCACATGGTGGCTCACAAGGTAACTCAATAAGTAAATCTAATTTTTTTAAAAAGTGAATTGGTTAAGTGCCATTAGCATCTCTGAACTTGACATAGATCAAGTATATAACAGATTCTGAAGAATGCTTTGATAATATAACATTAGATTAGCACTGAAGAGGAAATATACCACCATGTTGGTAATATCACCTTACCTAGTAAAGTCTTATAAATTGTTCTTCCATTGGGGAGGTAGTTCCCACTTTTGTTTGGAGTAAGATCATTTATTTGACTCAGAAGAATCTTGAAGAAAATAAAACCTTATTTTGTTGAGTTTTGAGATATATTCCTGTCTTTCCATTTTGGAATTGAGGGAGGGTGATTGAAGCAGGGTCTTATGTAACCCAGGCTAGGCTTTTACTGGATATGCAGCTGAGGATGACCTTCAACTTCTCTTGCTTCCACTTCCCAAGTAAGAATATAATTTTACACAATCACACCCAATTCCTTTCCTTCTTCTATAAGCAAAATATGAACTTGCTATATTATTCTTGCCATATGAACATGACAGATGACTAGATTTCTTTGGTTTGTGTAGGAGTGGGTGAGAAGGACTTGGGATGGTGGTGGGCGTGTGCACATTCATATGGGAGCCAAGCAGTAGACATCAAGTGTCTTCCCAGTCACTGTCCATCTTAGGGCTTGGTGTTTTTTTATCCAAAAAAATCTTAAAATTATGATTGTGAGGGTTTACATGCACACATTTAACATGACATGATGTGAAAGGTTATAAAACAGGCCTTGGGAATCATTTCTCCCCAACCATGTAGACTATAGAGACAGAACTCAAGATTACCAGGTAGCAAGTGCTTTTAGTGTTGAGCCATTTCACCACGTATTCCCCCCCTCCCCCCCGACAGTGTATTCACTGTATCTGGAGTTTTTGGACTACTGGCTTGTCCACCCTGCCAAGTTCTCCATATCTCTATCCCCCAGCACTGAGGCTCTGTGTGCTGTGTCTGACTTTGTTTCATAGGTACTGGAGGGTCCTAACCTGGGTACTTGAGCCTGCACAACAGACACTTTATCCACAGAATCATTTCTTCTTCCCTGCTAGATTTCTTTAATTTCCCAAAACATAATAAAAATTTACAATAGGAAAAATTACATATAAAACAATCTGTAAATATAATATATATCTGAATTCATGAACTCTTATTTGATACTCTTCAAAATTTCTAATATAAAAGCAAGCATTCCAGAAATCTAAATTTGCATCATTCTTTAAGAAGACAAAAGATACACTTTAGTGTATAAATTTCTTCTGATTTCTTGTTTAAAGTCCTTTAATCTATTGGATGCTAAATAGAATATTGAGTATGAAGGACACAAGTTAGTCGTGCCTTATTGAAAGACAAGCAATAGCCTGTGAGCCTGGCAGACTCTGGGTTGGGGCTGTTGTTTTAGGTGCTTCTGGAGTTAGTGAGAACTCAGGGTTATTTGTTGAACACAGCATCTCATTCTGTATCCCAGATGATCTTGAACTCATGGCATTCCTCCTGCCTCATGGCATTCCTCCTGCGTGCTGCTATGATGTGGTTCACTACCACACTTGGCTGAGATGATAAGGACTGTGAATGACGCTTTTCTTTCATTCTTAACTTTCTCTGCCATTCATTTCCTTGGTTTTCTGTACACTTACGAAGAAATTAGTCTATCTATACTTTGAAATTACTAAATGGAAAAGTTTTCAAAGAGGCACATAATTATTGTTTAAAAGTATGCTCAACCAGAAATTATTTGAACAGTGATCTCTTTAGTTCACAGATTTTTAAGTTTGGTTTTTTTGTGTGTTTTAATAAACATTTTGCCAAAGGTAATATTGCATTGAATCTTGAGTGGAGCTATTTTGGTGAAGTGGGGTTTGAGCCAAGGAGGTGTGTGTTCAGTGCCCATAGGAACACATCTCTATACTTCTCATTTGTGATTGGAAAGCCAGAGTTCAGGGAGCTAGGTCTCCAGTTCCTTACATAGTGTGTGTCTGCTACTCTTTTGCCTTGGTATGGGCCTGTCATTTCCTTGTATAGGAGACAAAATGATGAAATGAAGCATTAGAAACAGCAGTGGGGCCAAAAATAGCACCTTGAAATTAGCCCAAAGTTTCCATTTGGGAAAAACCTTTCATAATTACTTGGAGGCTTCTGTTCCTCTCTCTTTTTCCTTTATTTCCCCAGCTTTTAAATTTTAATTTAATTTTTTTTTCTTTGAGACAGGGTTTCTCTGTAGCTTTGAAGCCTATCCTGGATATAGCTCTTGTATACCAGACTGGCCTCGAACTCACAGAGATCTGCTTGCCTCTGCCTCTCTAGTGTTGGTATTAAAGGTGTGCGCAACCACTGCCTGGCTTAAATTTTAATTTAATTTTTTTTAAGTTAAGTGCTTAATATATGCCTTTTGGTATCAGAACATACCAGCTTCAGAAACCATCTCTGTTTTGTTTTTGTTTTCATTTAGTCTATAGAAAATTTCTCTTTTCTGACTTTTGCCTTAAAACATCTCAAATGGTACTAAATTACTTAAAGTAGTTTCTAGTTACTATCTCTCTAACTAAGAACAACTTTTTACAACTCTTTGGTATATATGTAATATAACCATATTCGTGTTTGTGTCTGTGTCAGTATTCTTTGTGTATGTGGTCTGTTTGTCTGTATATGCATGCATGCCTCTTACATGTGTTCTTGTGCATATAGATGTATATGCATGTGTGTGAACCTACATGTGAAGACTAGAAAATAGCCTCATGTGTTTCCCAGGAGCCATCACTTTGGTCTTTCGTTTGACCTCAAACTCAATGAAGTAGACTAGACTGATTGACCAGAAAACCCCAGGGACCAACCTGCCTGTTTCTCCAGCAGTAGGGTCGCTGCCATGTGTCTTCACACCCAGTTTTTTTGAGCTTGGGTTTTTCTTACTAGCAAGGCAAGTTGACTAAGCTATCTCCCCCATTATGTGGCTGATACATATTTCACATGTTATATACAGTACAGTTTGTTCATAGCTTTATTACTTTAAACTAGAAAGGTACTCTTTTTCTTTTTCTTTTCTTTTCTTTCTTTCTTTCTTTTTTTTTTTTTTTTTTTGAGACAAGGTTTCTCGGTGTATCTCTGACTGTCCTGGCACTCCGTAGACCAGGCTACCTCGAACTCACAGAGATCTGCCTGCCCCTGCCTCCCGGTGGCATATGCCACCACCACCCAGCTGAAAGATGCTTTTTAAAGCTTCTTCTTTTATTCCATTTATTTAAGTTCTTATTCACTTGTCTGTCTGTCTGTCTATCATCTATCTATCTATCTATCTATCTATCTATCTATCTATCTATCTAGGGTGTGTGTGCTACAGCACTGTGAGGTTAAAGGACAACTTTTGGAAGTCAGTTCTCTCCTCCCACCATGTGGGTCTCAGGGAGTGAACTCAGATTGTCAGGCTGGAAGAACCTTTATCTGCAGAGCATGTAGTGACCTCAGAAAGAGTTTTTGTTGTTGTTTTAAGTGAAACCATTTGTGGTGGTGCATTCTTATAATGGCAACACTTAAGAGATAGATCAGGAGGATTGCAGCAAGTTGAGGCTAGTCTGTCCTCTATAGTAAGTTCAGGCCAACAAGGGCTACGTAGTTAAAGCCTTATCTCAGAAAATGAGAAATCAAAAATATTAATATGATCATCCATGAGTATGTGAAGAGGATATGTTCTAGAACCTCCACAGGTACCAGAATCTTCAGATAATATGTAAAATGACATACCACACTTAAACATAAATACTGTGTAAATACTGAAAAATCTGTACATACCTAATACATTTTTAAGTAGTGAAATTCAAAAATAAAATAACTGCTAGTTGATTTATCGTTTAACCCATTAATTCAAGTAGTTTACAAACTTAGTTTGACCCCAGGTTATCAACATGCAGGTAGGAAATATCTTGTTTTGTTTTTCTTGTGTGTGTGTGCGTGTGCATGCACGAGGGCACATGCCTGTGCACATGGGTGGTGTGCATATGACTGTGTGCATGTGAAAGCCTAAAGTTGATCTCAGTAATTATCTTCCATCATTCTTCACCTTATGAGATAGGATCTTAGTCACACCCAGAACTTGTGGTCTGGCTAGTGTTCTTGCCAGCTTGCTTTAGAGATTCTATGTGTCCATCTTCTGAGGCTGGTGTCCAGATGGGTATGTGGTACTGGAATTCATACTCTGGTCCTCATACTTGTAAAGCAGGCAGGCACTTAGTAAAGCAGGCAGGCACTTAGTAAAGCAGGCAGGCACTTAGCCAGTTAGTCATTTCCCCAGCCCCTGGAAGCTCACTTTGGAAGAGAGGAAAAGACTGATTTTTAGTACTTGAGGATTAACATGAAAGACGTGTGGTTGCCACAGAAGGGTCTTGAAAGAGATCGGCATCCATTCATTTAAAAAATATTGGAGCACCTACTATTTGCTCAGTGACTAGATAGAGAACATTAAAGAAAATAGAATGCACAAAAAGAGTAAGTAGGTGATATGACCAGATGGATCTAAATGGAACAGACAAATGAACATGTCGAAATGGGAAATGGTAGAGAAATTAGGATGAGTTCTAAAAAGCAGGCCAAGTGCTTTCTTGTTACATTTCTTTTCTGTTTACAGGCATGCGTGTAGGGAATACCGGATTCACAAAGAGCTGGATCATCCCAGAATAGTGAAGCTGTACGATTACTTTTCATTGGATACTGACTCGTAAGTCCTATACCATTTTTCCTTACCTTATTTTCTTGATGTATTAAGTCCTCATGGAAAGGAGCTTAAATCTGGACCTGGGAAATGCTCTCTAAGTCAACTAAATTTATTAATTTACAGTCAATAAGATATATCATATATCTTTTTTAAAGGCTTATTTATTTATGTATATGAGTGTTCTAGCTACATGTATGCTTTTATGCCATAAGAGCACACCAGATCCCATTGTAGGTGGTTGTAAGCCACCATGCGGTTGCTGGGAATTGAACTCAGGACCTCTGGAAGAGCAGTCAGTGCCCTTAGCCACGGAGCCACCTCTCCAGCCCCAATTTACAGTCAAATAATCATACATTATTTAGATTTGGGTCAGCCAGACATCTGTTGGCTAAAGGACAGGACCCTGTATGCTAGTAAACATTTTACAATTAGCTTGATAGGGAGATAAGGTTCATTGTCCATATCTATGTCATAAGCACTTCCACTATGTGCAATTTTAAGGTACCAACTTAAAATAGACTTTATTCTAATTTATATACCATGTGATTCACCCATGTAAAGTACACAGTTGAGTGGGTTTTCACGTGTGTCATGGATATACACAGCCATTATCCAAGATCATTTTAGGACATTTTTATTCTTAGAAGAAAGCTGAACCTTTTTACTGTCACTTCTCCATTTTACTTTCCCTCTATTTAAGCGGTTCTCTCTGTCACCTTTAGGTGTCCTGTTCTAGACTCTTTCTGAGTGGAATCATGGATGTGGTCTTTGTGACTTATTAAAGTCCACACTTTATATTTGTGTGTCAGTGGTTCATCCCTTCTTACAGCCAGATTACATTCTGTTGTATGGATTTATCACACTTTGTTTAGTCTTAGAAACATTAGCTTCCAGCTTACAAAATTCCTAAAAATGTAGCAGTCAGTCTTTAGGCATTGGTGCTAACATGCCACTAGCAGGTCTAACACGTGTAAACTGTTGGAGAGAATTCTGCCTCACTATAAAGACTGATGGATCCCATGAGCCTTAAGTACAACAGTGTCTTGTTACCCTAAAACAAGGATTAATGTGATACATGTAAAGACAGCCCATGCTGCAGGTTGGAATGCAGGTTCATGGGCATTTAAAAATTGGAATTTAGATTTTAGGATTGGGAGGGGCATTAGCGCTCAGCCTTCTTGATGTGTAGACCAATTGTTGAATATCAGAAAAATGAAATTACTCATGAGAGACCTTTGGTACTCTTGATAATCCTTTATGTAATATACAGGTCAGAGCCTTTGCACTTATTCAGGTTTACAGATATTTCAGCATTTGGAACTTTTTCAGGCCCGAGTCAGGAGAACGTAAGATACCTCAGGTCTGACCTTCAGGTGTTCTCTCAGTCTCCCAAGGCAGTGTCCAGGAGTTTTGGTCTGTTCACCTAGAAACTCTCTCAGACAGCCAGCCCATGTGTAGAGATATATCCAGGAAATTCCATGTTCCCTGTGGAAACAATACTTGTCCTTTCTCCTGTATGCTCAAACTTTTCCCTTCTCATTAAGGAGCCTTTGCATACTATAATCCTGTTGTGTGTCGTAGGTAGAGCTCAGAAAAATAGTGTACTTAGATACCAAGGGTGAGAGCCCTGGTCGAGTCTCCACTCTGCTGTTACTATTTTGCTTTCAATAGATTCCTTGAATACTAAGTAGATAGACTCTCCTATGAAGAATAAATACTAAAACTATTTTGAAAATAAATATAATGACTTGAATTATCTTTTGGTTTGAATTGTATACACATTTCAATGTGATAGTAATTTTATACTACTCTTGTTATGTTTTTCTTATTATGTTTTTAGCTCAACAAGTCAGGTTGTTGTTTAGAACATCTTTTTAGAGTCATTTAGATGTATAAAGTTAGATTTTATTTCTAGCTTGGTTGTGGGCCAAAGAATCAATTCACAAGAGTCCAACTCAGATATCAGCATCTCAGTCAGAGAATGAACATTTCAGGTACATGCTCAGGCCAGGCGGTGGTGGTGCATGGGCTTTAATCCCAGCTGGTTTACAGTGCTAGTTCCAGGACAGCTTGGGCTGTTACAGAGAGAAACCCTATCACACACACCCAAAGCAGCTACATGCTCAAGAGTGTCAGCATGCCTCACAGATTTCATAAAAAGCATAGTTTATTGTTCATTTCTGAGATTCTGCAAGTCTTTTTGTAGTCCGTTGGAGTGCAGCTTGAAGTTCAGCCTATAGCTGCTCACCGTTTTCCTTCCTTGCTCTGCATCAGGGGATCAGCTGTGTCAGTGCGTGTTCAGGCACACAGTTGTAGTTTCTCTTGTGACCAACATTCTCATGGCACCAGCTTCCTAGGACCCTCTGGCTTTAGGGTGCCTCACCAGACAGTTTGTCTTCTTAGAGCTTCAATCTATGAATTGAAGCTCTTTGGCTTTAGTATTGAAGTGGTTTTTATTAATGGTTAAGTCCTGACTGATAAACCTGACCTAGTATTCATCTCTCAGGAATATTCAAGTAATACATTAGTTTGAACATTTTGGAAGATAGGTTCGTTGCCTGTAGTGTCAACAGTGGTGTGTAATTTTAAATGGGGGTGTGTGTGGTGTTTTGGCATAAATGAAAGTAAAAGAACCCATACCATATAACAACACATTTGTGTAGTCTTGTGCCAGATATAGTATACAACCAGTTCTAAACCTGGACAGTCAGGATTATATAAAACACTTGCAAGGACAGTTGTGTGATGACTGTTTAGTAATGAGTACATGGTATGGGTATGAAGTGGAGGCCCTGCTGTAAGGGGATGGCCAGCTCAAACATTGTTCTTATCAGTGTCCTTAATAGAGAAATGCCACAGTGAACTTTGGCACAGTTGATGCCTGTGTCGAGATTCCAGAGCCTCATCTGCAAGACAGCAAGCACTTCTCTTCCTGTGAGCCGGAGTGAGATGCCGTGATATCTGAGTCTTTGCTGACAGTGGTTTAGATAGTTTAATCTGCTCCTTACTCCACTGGTAAATGCTGGTTTATGTATCTTCAGGTTTTGTACAGTATTAGAATACTGTGAAGGAAACGATCTGGACTTCTACCTGAAACAGCACAAATTAATGTCGGAGAAAGAGGCCCGATCCATTATTATGCAGATTGTGAATGCTTTAAAGTACTTAAATGAAATAAAACCTCCCATCATACACTATGACCTCAAACCAGGTATGCCTAAATTTTAAGAGACATTGTTAATAAACTTGTAAATGTGTTGCGTCAAAGAATTTGACAGGAGCCAAGAAGGATGCTTGAGTAGGTGTGAGAAGAAAGGAGTCCTGGCCGCCCAGTGCTGGGTGTAGGTGGTGGGTGGGTGGGTTGGATTAAATTCTCTGGAGAAACAATGCCTTTGTGTGCTGAACCAGGAAAACTCATGATGTCATTTACAAACAGCTGTTTTTGCAAGTTCCGTTTTGTTTTCCCATTGCTCACACTGTGAAGCAGTTCCTTTGTCTCAGGCCTCCCTGATATGAACACATATGCCTCATTTCCTTAAGTCCCAGCCGTTCTCCATCTTTTTAATTATCATTTAACTTCGTAGTCATCAGGAAAAAGCAAAGAGCTTTTTGTCCCTTATTTTTTGTTATCTTCAGTTGGCGTTTTTTGTTGTTGTTGGTTTTGGTTATGTATGCCTCGGGTAAATGGCTGTCAAGTGGAATGTGAGTATTAAGAACCTAGTTCCCATCGTCTCCTTTAGGTGGGGCTGTGGAAGCCTTGTTCTTTCTGATAACTGTATGTGAAAGCTCACCACTCACTGTCCTCTATGTTGTGTTCTGACATAGTTGACATGTCCGGAAAATCATTTATTGTAAAGTGATTTTGTTTTTGAGATGGCTGCAATCACTGAAGTCACCACATTTTCCTGCCATAGGAGCAGGTGGCGCTGTGGCACCATGTTTCATTCCCAAGTATATTTTTTTTTTGTATCTCCTCCACCCCCACCTTCCTGACATCACTAGTCAAGCTTGCTAGCCCAAAGAGCACATAGAAAGTTCATGTGAAATTTTCCCACCTTTTTTTTTTTTAAACCAAACTATATAAGTGATGATTTTACTTTGGCAAGTCATTTTTCTTTCCAGTGTCCAGAGTTGGTTTTGGCACATTAAACAGGCAATTCTTCGAAAATAGAAGTTTCTGGTAGATACTGAGGATTCTCCCTGTGTCCAGAGTTAGATTTACTTTATGCCAAAGGTTTAGTGTTCACATGTTTCCTTCTTGCGTGTCTTTTTTCTTAATAACGAAGTCTCTGCTTATTCATGAAGGTTTTTTTTTTTTTGTCTTTTTAGGTAATATCCTTTTAGTAAATGGTACAGCGTGTGGAGAAATAAAAATTACAGATTTTGGTCTTTCCAAGATCATGGATGATGATAGCTACAATTCAGTGGATGGCATGGAACTAACATCACAAGGTGCTGGTACTTATTGGTAGGTATCCAGGAGATCTGCCAAGTTGGCTGGTGGGTATGTGGTTCTGTTGGATTGATTCCATGGTGATGATTAATCCTTAATCCTATGTAGTTGGCTAAAACCAAAATACCTTGTCTTTTTTAGCACTTTGACTTTTTGTATTAATTTGTATTATTTTCTTTCTGTTCTTAAACCCTTGAAAAAGCGCTGTGTATTCTGACCTTTGGAGGTGTATGTGTCTTACCCAGTGCTGGTCGTACAAGCCAGTAGAGACTGAGGTTGTTTATGTGTCTAAAAGAATGGCCCTGAATTCTTTACGGTTCAAGTAGAGCCCTCTCCTTGTGTTAATGAAATAAGGCATTTGTTTCTAGGATGAGCAACTGTCAAGTCAAGAATTAAGGAGTTGTGAAAATCAGGATGAGAACAAAAATAAAGTAAATCCACGGTATCCCATAAAATTTCCATTTGAAAAGTGAGCACAGTTTAGCAGAATTGTGTGCTTGTCTGTTAGCCATCTCTCATTCTGAGGTGCTTACACCATAATCTGCTTTAAGTGATTAATTTAGAGGTGTCTCCATAGCACTACAGGAGAGGTAGGTAACATGCCGTTGTAGCCCAGCCAAGAGTCAGTCCTTAAATTAAAACTTTGAAATTCTAGGTTTAAAATAGAAGTTATATTTACAGTGTTTACTCACTGCAGTGGTTATTATGGAGTAGTCTCCTGTCACTAAGCGACACAAAAACTATATACAGTTGGTAGTTTGGGGAAAGAGGTTTGTACCTCTATTATATGAGTTCTGTTAGCGGAAGGTTCCCTGTTCCAGCAGTCATTTTCGAATTAACAACTCAGAATTTTAATATTAATTATAAATGCTCTACCAATAGCTCAAGCTTGTTACTAACTAACTCTTGCATTTTAAGTTAACCCATATTCGTTATTTATGTTCTGCCACATGGCAGTACCTTTATTAGTATGATACATTCATCTCCTGCTCCCTCAGTGTCTGGCTGGCGACTTCAGACTCTACCCTTCTTCTTCCCAGAATTCTCCTAGTCTGACTCTCCTGCCCAGTCTCTCTTTCCTAGCTATTGGCCTGTCAGCTTCTTAATTAAACCAATAACAGCATAATTTGCACAGTGTACAGAAGTATTACTCCACAGGAAAGTTCATTGGAATTCTGAGTTTTATGCTTGTAAGTTTGTTCTTTTTTTAAAAAAAAAAAATTGTCCTCAGTCTGTCTCACATAATCTTTTCCTCACATTTAAATAGCTATTAAAAAATAATAAAATGTGCTGAGTATAGTAATGTGCACTTTAATCCCAGCATTGGGAGATAGAAGCAGATAGATCTCCATGAATATAAGGTCAGCCCATAGTGAGTGTCAGGTTATCCAGGCTACAGATTAAGACCCTGAGACCCTATCTCAAGAAAAAAGGAAAAAAAAAAAAAAAAGAGGAAAGCAAAACAGTGATGATGATGTCGCTGTGTCATTGCTATCTGTTACTATTTTTGCTAATCTGTAGAAATTCTGAAATTAAAGTTTCAATAAAAATCATGTAATGCTTTCTCCCAAAGTAGCTTATTAGGTGATGTAGAAAGCCATTACATGGCCATTGAAAATATGGTTACTTGGTTGTTTGAGTGTTCTTTCTACTTTAGTTATATTTGAGTATTTTCTATAACGAAAAGTAAAATAAATGAGCTGGCTGTAGTGGCACACACCTTTAATCCCAGCACTCAAGAGGCAGAGGTAAATGGTTTTCTCTATGAGTTTGAGGCCAGTTTGGTCTACATAATAGTTTCAGGATAGCCAGGGCTATGTAGAAAGACCCTGTTTCAAAACAAAACAAAACAGCAACAATAAAAAAACCCAACAAAACAAAAATTTAATAACTAAGTAAATGAAAGATAGAGCGTTCTGAGACTATTAAGTTTTATCAGTTTCTATAAAGGTTTTGTTTTATATTGGGGTTGGGGATTCTCTGTGCAATAGTCCTGGTTGTCCTGGAACTCGCTTGGTAGACCAAGCTGGTCTCAAACTCAGAGATCCACCTGCCTCTGCCTCCCAAGTGCTGGGATTAAAGGTGTGCGCCACCACTGCCCGGCTCCTTAACTTTTTAAAGTGTATATTGGTAATAATGGTGTCATAATCACCATTATGTTAATATGTTATTCTTTTAGGATGATGACCTAGAGAGATAAAAGTAGCCTGGGGAGCAGGTTTAGAACATTTTAAATAAGACATTGTGGCTTTTAGCTATTCCAGAATTCTACATTAAGATATGTGAGCTGGGGGTTTTGAGAGATGGCATAGTGGTTCAGACTGCTTTCACCGCCAGCTTGAGGACCTGAGTTAGGATTCCAGTGATAGCCAGGTGTGGTGGCACATGCCTGTAATCCCAGCCCTTAAGGCAGAAGCAGTGAGTTTGATGCCAGCCTGGTCTACATAGCCAGTTCTAGGTCAGACAAGGCTACACAGTGAGACCACATCTCGAAGAAGTGTGGGAGGAAGAGTAAGTGATAGAGCAGAACTGTGATAATCAGTTGCCTGTCAGTACACACACACATAGATAGGCTTGTGTGAACACCATACACATATCCCAACACGTGCAAGATAAATGAGTAGGGCGTGGAGGTACATTCCTTTCATTGCACCCCCACCCCCCAGAAAGCTGTGGTAGGAGAATTGAAGCAAGTGTTCAAGGACAGCCTGTGCTACAAAGTGAGACCCTTTCAAACAAAATCAAAAGCGAACAAGAGCTCACATTATACTTTGAGCATCGTCTCTGAGTTCCATTTCTACTGTATGAGGACTGGTGCTGTGATGAGACTGCAGCATGCTTGTTGGCACTGTTTGTTATCATAGGCCTGTCTTCCTCAATCCTCCCAAAGCTCTTGGCAGGAAATGAGAATATTTACTGTTGTATTATTTGTATGGAAAAACTAGTTTATTTCTTCATTTATAGATGGAGAAACTGAATCTGAGTTGATTTACCAAGCATGTACTGTCAAGTTGAAGTACCTTTTACACTCTAATTTTTTTTTTCAAGATAGGGTTTCTCTGTGTAGCCCTGGGTGTCCTGTAGACCAGGCTGACTTCAAATTCAGAGAGATCTGCCTGAGTCTACTGGGTTTAAAGGTGTGTTCTACCACTGCCTGCCTACATTCTTAAAAATCTTAACAAATTACCACTCTGCCCATTGAATGAGCTCACCACCCCTGTTCTTCCCTGACACCTTTCGGGGGGGAAAAAAAAAGAATACATTTCAGTAGTCATTTTTAGAATCAAAGTTATATTTGTTATTTATGCAGAATCATATTTAAGTTGATGTGTACTAAAGAACCAGCAACTGTGAAATCAGAGGTCCAGGAAAGTTTGAGTGCTGTTTGGAAGAGCTGTTCTTAAATTTTTTTCTTTTGTTTACATTTTTTATTTCCTTGCCCATCTCTTTTTCCTTCATAGGCTGTTTTGTTTATTGCATTTTTTAGGGTAGTTTGTTTGTTGTGTGTTTTGCTTTGGCACTGGCAATCCAACCCACAACTCCACAGCCACTGATCTACACCTTCAGCATGTGTTGAGCTATAAGTATTCATTGTGAAATAGTCTAGCTCTGGCTTCCAGATGTCTGCTGTGGAAAAGACAAGCTTGACAGGGATGGTGGATGAGTGAAGAAGGATTTCAGTTTAGATTTTTATACCAGGACCACAGCAGGGACCACGTAAAAGATTTTCCATAGGCTGGGCTTTACTGGCCTGAGTCTGCAGAAACTCATCTATCACAGTGGCTCTCAATCTATGGTCATGACCCTTTCACAGGGGTTGTTTAAGACCATCAGAAACACAGATGTTTATGTTACAATTCATAACAGTAGCAAAATTATAATTATCAAGTAACAACGAAAACAATGTTATGGTTGAGGTCTCCACAACATGAGGAACTGTATTAAAGGGTTGCAGTGTTAAGAAGATTGAGAACCAGTGCTCTAGTATCTTTAGAATTCTGCCTTCCAGTTGAGCTGTGGCTAGGATTCCAAGCATATTTATTTGGTTTCCTAAATGCTCAGAGGTTCTTCTTACCTTCCACACCATACAATTTGTTGTAACCCACTGTCCCCTAGATTCTTCAGAGACCAGTGGTGGGGAGAGAAGGAATTTAGATAAGGGTCTAAGAAGGATTTAGATGTGGCTTTTGCTATACTGATTGTTAGTCTTTCAGCAAGCTATCTCACCCTTAATGTGGAAAAATAAAACATTTTCTGTTAACTTGGACTTTAATATCTCTCTGGATTTTATATTGAATTATTTCTGGTAGAGGTTTCCAAAAGAAGCTGCTCTCAGAGATCTCTAGGTCCTGAATTCATTTGGACTTTAAAACAGATCCAATATTCAGCACCCCAAAAAAATTGATTTTAGAAAAGTCTAAGTATAGGGGGCTAGAGAGATGGCTCAGCAGTTATGAGCACTGACTGTTCTTCCAGAGGTCCTGAGTTTAAGTTCAAGCAACCACATGGTGGCTCACAACCATCTGTAATGAGATCTGGCACCCTCTTCAGGCCTGCAGGCTATATGCAGGCAGAACCCTGAATATGTATTAGATAATTCTTTTTTTTAAAAAAAAAAAAAAAAGAAGAAAAGAAAAGTCTATGTATTGTGGGCTGAGTGGAGTGTGTAGTTCCATGGTAGAACATTTCATTCTATGCGTGAGACCGTTGGTGTAGTCCCCATTTTTAAAACACTATGACAACAAAGTGGTGAATGACACTTGGAGTCGGCACAAGCCAGATAAAGAAAGGGGGGAGTGAGCTAAATGAAACTAGAGAGGATATTTACATCTCCATAAATTGAGAAATAAGCCAGATGGTGGTGGTGCACGCCTTTAATCCCAGCACTTGGAAGGCAGAGGCAGCCTGGTCTACAGAGCTAGTTCCAGGACAGGTTCCAAAGCTACAGAGAACTCTATCTTGAAAAACAAAACAACAACAACAAAAATTGAGAAATAAAATACTTTAATGCCATATGAAGAACCTCCATAGTTCAAGTGTCTTTTTGTTTACTTGTGTATGTATATAGATATATGTATATATTTAAGATTTATTTATTTATTATATATACAGTGTTCTGTCTGCATGAATATCTGCAGGCCAGAAGAGGGCATCTCATTACAGATGGTTGTGAGCCACCATGTGGTTGCTGGGAATTGAACTCAGGACCTTTAGAAGAGCAGGCAATGCTCTTAACCATGGAGTCATGTCTCCAGCCCCTACTTGTATATATTTCTAAGCTGATGGTTGAAACTGGAGTGTTTTATTGTGTGTGTGTGTGTGTGTGTACATATATACATATATATACACAGACAACTGTACATTTTTATGCAATCACATACACTTGGTTTTTTTGTTTTTGTTTTTTGGGTGTCTTTGAGAGACAAGCTCTCTTTCCTCAGCCCCAGCTGTTCTGGTAGTCACTACTCGCAGAGATTCATCTGTGCCTCTTCCTGTGCCATAATTAAAGGCGTGAATCACCATGCCTGCCTAAGTGTTATATTTTTAACAAGGTCCTTTATTTTGCTTTTTTGTGTATGGCTTGAGTTATATATTAATTTTCCTGAGTGTTTTTTATTTCTGTTTTCTCCTAGGTATTTACCACCGGAGTGTTTTGTGGTTGGGAAAGAGCCACCAAAGATCTCAAATAAAGTTGACGTCTGGTCAGTGGGTGTGATCTTCTACCAGTGTCTTTATGGGAGGAAGGTGAGGAGGAAGGCAGTGCAGCAGCCTGTGGCCATGTCCACCCCCTCAGGGTGGATTCTTTTTTGCAGTTAATCATTGGAATCCTGCAAGTGCTGGTTTCAAGAAAATGCAGGGTTCTCAGTAAATGCTTCATGTATAACTAGAAATTCCAGGCGGGAGAGCATCTACTGAATTCTCCCAAGCCATCAGAGGCATGCATGTTGCTGTTCTTAAAAATGAGACATTTTGACTCTGATATGTGTGTGAACTCAGTGTGAAACATGGTGTTTTGGCTTGTTTGTTGGTTGGTTTTTATTTTGAGATGTTTTGCTTTATAGCCGTGGTTGACCTGTATATATATAGTCCAGGCTGACCTCAGAGTCAAGGCAATCCCCCTACCTTAGCCTCTTGAATGCTGAGATTATATCAATATTTGTCTGGAAATCATTTAATAATGTGAACAATCTGCCCAAGATCCATTCTCAAAGTTCTAATAAGATCTGAAACTTGAAAAATTCCTAGATTTTATTTTTAACCACCTCATAAGCTGGTGTGAATAAAAATATACCATGCTCTTGTGCATGCTGTGAAGCCTGGAAGTCCACCTCAGGTCTGTCCTTAGTACAGAAAATCTCTCATTGAACCCAACTCAGTTAGACAAGCTGGCCAGCAAGTTGCATTCTGCTGGTCCAGTCTTTCCTGTGCTAGGAGTCCAGGTACATGCTGCTACAACTGGCTTTTTTGTGTGGGTACTGGGGATCAAACTTAGGTTCTTGTTTTTTATAGTAAGTAAGTACTTTATCTCTCGCCCCAGCCCCCCCCCCCATATTTTTTTTGTTTGTTAGTATTGTTTTGTTTTGTTTTGTTGAGACTGGGTCTCACTCTATAGCCCTGGCTAATTTGGAGCTCTCCATGTTTAGATCAAGCTGGCCTCAAATTCACAGAAATTGTCCTATCTCTGCTTCCTGAGTGAGCACTGAGGTTAAAGGAATGAATCACCATATCTGGCAAAGATTAATTTTATTATTTATGTGTGTGTGTCTGAGTACATGAGTGTGTTTGCCCGTGGAGACTGGAAGAGGGTGTCAGATACTCTGCCAGTTTGCTTTCTATTGCTGTGATAAACACCATGACAAGTAAACAATAACAACAAAAATAGCAACAACAGGAGGGGTGCTTGGCTTATGTATCTGATCACAGTCCACCACTGAGAGAAGTCAGGACAGGAATTATGGGGGAGTGCTGCTTACTGGTTTGCACTTCGTGACTGGCTCAACTTGCTTGCTTATATCAGCCAGGAGCACCTTCCCAGGGTGACATTGCCCACAATGGGGTGGGCCCTTCCATGTCAATCTAGATTCAGGAAAATGCCCCACTGACTTGTCTATACAGACAGTCTGATGGAGGCAATTAAGGTTCCCAGATGATTCCAGCTTGTATTAAGTTGACACAGAACTAACCAGCACAGAAACCTTATGCTAGATTTATGAGAGGTTGTGAGTAGATTGACATAGGCATCGGGAGCCAAACTGGGGTTCTCCACAAGAGAAGATAGTGCTCTTAGCTGCTGAGCCATCTCCCCTTTTGTGTGTGTGCGTGCACACGTGCTGAGAAGGTGGTGTCAGAAAGTATCCCTTGACCAAGTATGGTAGTTCATACCTTTAATTCCAATATTTGGGAGTCTGAGACAGGAAGACATAAAGCAAATGGAGTTTTGTAGCTCCTGTGAACTCCTAATATTTTGATGAGATTTCCAGACCGAACTCTTAACACAGACGACGCCTTCCTCTTGCTGGTTCATTGTCTGCCTCTCCAAAACAAGAAGACTGTGCAGAACTAGTGGAGCATAATTATTTTGTGCACTATCTAAGTGTTGAGTTGTTGCTAATATTATAGGCATTATAGTAAGCTTGAACTTGTTTTTAAAAGTTTATCAGGAACTTGAAGCACAGTTAAAATCCCTAAGTGGTCTCAGCACTTTTTTGTTTGTTTGTTTGTTAGGTTTTGTTTCTTGAGGTGGGATCTTGTTATGTAGTCCAATCTGCCCTAGAGCTCACTGTGTAGCCTTCACAGGCTTTGAAGTCACAGTGATTTTCCTGTGTCAGCTTTCAAAGTGATGAGATTGCAGGTGTGAGTCACCACTCCATCCCTCATACTGGGGGTGAGGAAAATTGTTCTTTTTTTTTTTTTTAGCATTATTTTAGATTTATTTTATTTACTTGAGTGTTTTTCCTGCATGTATGTGTGTGTACTTTCTGAGTTCGGAAGAGGGCATTGAATCCCCAGAAGTTGGAGCTGCAGATATTTGTGAACCTCATTGTGGGTGCTGGGAACAAACCCCAGTCCTTTGCAAGAATAGCCAGTGCTCTCAGTTGCTGCACCATCTCCAGCCTCCCTTGATTTATTTTTAGTGCACCTCTTGGATTGGCTGGCACATAGATAAGTGTAGTCATCTAAGATGTGACTCAGAGTTCAAGAGGCTGCTCATTGGTCTGCTGAATCTTTCTTTGCTGTGTGCTGGGAGGAAAGCTAGAGATAGGAGAGACTGCTTCTAGTTCCTGTTGTGCCTCGGCTTGACCTTTCAGCCTTGGACCTTCCCCATTAAAGTCAAAGGTGAGCGTTGAAGGAGAGCATCCCCAGAGTGTGGAGACTTCTGTAGTGCTGAATTGTGTAACCAGAGGCCAACCTTTGTTTATTTTGTTTTTATTTGATAGCCTTTTGGCCATAACCAGTCCCAGCAAGATATTCTACAAGAAAATACTATTCTTAAAGCTACTGAAGTACAGTTCCCGCCAAAGCCAGTAGTCACACCTGAAGCAAAGGTAAGCTTGATTCATTGGCCAATGGAAATGGCTGGCTGCCAGTGTCAGTTCTTTGGGTGGTAATAACTGAATTGTTAAATGTGAAATTCAGCCATTATTAGGCAGCAGAATGGGAACAGATTACTATTCTTAAGAACAGTGAGAAGAAGATTGCTTATAGTCTGCCCACCTCATCTCCAGGTTTAGTAAAAGGAATTTTCACAAGCAGATTGTAATTCACAATGGCTGTGTGAGATAGGATAGGGAAGGATAGGTAGACTCCAGTAGAGTTACACCTGCAGATGTGTGTAATAGGAAGGATACCCAGTTTCGTGCCTGTCATGGAGGCTGGCCTGTGATGGAAGCTAAGACTTACATAGGAGAAATGAAGTAGGAGTACTAAGGTGGAAAAGGTGATAGCCCCTCTCCATTTTTTATGACATGGTTGGGGTAGATCTCAATGATGAAATGCTATTTGATCAGTAGCTTGAACGATGTGTACGGCAGAGCCATGTTTAGATTTGAGGGAACTGTGTTCTGCAGAGAAGGAAAGAGAATTGTAGAAGGGGGCAGAACCAATGTGAAATGAGGAGAAGCAAGAGGTCATGGTGTGATCATGGCAACTGTGTGGTCCAGTTTTAAGAGCCTGTTCCAGCAGCTCTATAGAGACATCACATTTATTTGATCATGCTACAACCTACGAGAATCTGTTAAAACTCTAGGTTTGTGTATTTTATAGGAAAAGCTCATTTTCAAAGCCAGAAGTTCTTTGTTCATTTCTGGGAATGTCTCTTAGCTTCCAAATACTTCAATCAAGCAGATACCTGTGTCTTCACTTTTGAAAAGCCGGAATTGCTCTTCTACCTTTATATTTTTTTTTAATTAAACGTGGGAAAAGAAAATTACTTTTTTATGTTTTAGGGGTTTTTTTGTAAATAAACCTACTTTTTCTTAATCTATGCTGAAGTCTAAATGCCAGGCCATTTGTTTAGTGGGTAAGCACTCTACCTCTGAGCTCTATCCACAGCTAGATTTTACTTGTTTAAGCAGTCTTAGGTTCAGGTTTGTAACAAAATAGAGCATGAAGAACATAGTTTCCATATGTGTTCTCTCCCTACTCTATAACCTCCCCTGTCAACATGCCATCATCAGGCTAGGGTGTGTGTTGTCATCTGTGAGCCTGCTACACATATCATTATCAGTTTACTATGAAATGCAGACTTTTGATAAATATGATGTTTTAGACTTTAAAACTGATTCATTGGGGCTGAGGATATAACTAAGTTGATAGAGTGCTTGCCGGGCTATGCGCAAAGCCCTGGGTTCCATCCCTTGCACTGCATAAAGCACGTGTAGTTGCGTATACATGTGTAATCCTACCACTCTAGACGTGAAGGCGAGAGGATTAGAAGTTCAGGGTCATCCTTGGCTACATACTGAATTTGAGACCATCACAGGATACAAGATAAAGCAAACAAGTTGATTCATTTAAACAAATTGCATTATAAAATTTGAATAAATTGACTTCTCTGATCTAAAAATAGGAAGCCAAAAAAGACTTAAAAGTCTTTTGATAAGAGTCTTCTGACCGGGTGGGAAGGGAGCTTCCATTTTGCTAGTGTGGTTGAAGTCAAATCATGTCTGTAATATTCAACAAACACCAGTACTGGCATTGGCCCTTGTCTTTTCTGCTCTGCCTGATGAATTTGGGAAGGCTATAAACCTTTTCTGAGGGGGTGTTTGTTCTGTCTAGCAGTGGTATGGGTCCCTCAGGTTCCTACCGGTGTACCAGGATTATTTCCTTCAGTCTTTTGTATGAAATTTCCTTTTATAGGCATTTATCCGGCGATGCTTGGCCTATCGAAAGGAAGACCGTATCGATGTCCAGCAGCTGGCCTGTGACCCCTACTTGTTGCCTCACATTCGAAAGTCAGTCTCTACAAGTAGCCCGGCTGGAGCTGCTATTGCATCAACCTCTGGGGCATCCAATAACAGTTCTTCGAATTGAGACCAACTCCAAGGCCACAAACTGTTCAGCACACAAAGTGGACACATGGCATCAGCAGTGGGTTTGGAACATAGTGAATCCGAATGGATCTCATGAAACCTGTACCAGGTGCTTTTATTTCTTGCTTTTTTCCCATCCATAGAGCATGACAGCATCGATTCTCATTGAGGAGAAGCCTTGGGTAGCTCTGGCCAGGCCTCATAGGAGAAGGCCCTGCCCGAGGTTCCGGCGTCAACGGTCACTGTGTGTGGCTGCTCTGAGTGAGGAAAAATTAAAAAGAAAAAACTGGTTCCATGTACTGTGAACTTGAAAACATGCAGACTCAGGGGGTTCCCTGACACAATGCTTCAGATGAAGAATGTGGACTTGAAGACACAGACTGGGCTAGTCCAGAGTCTATATTTAAACTTGCTCTTTTCTTTTAATAAAGTTTAGGTGACATCTCCTGAAAAGCTTGTAGCACAGAGGCTCAGCTGGGGATGGTGTTTGACTTTGGAGGAAAAAAGTTGCTATTGCCCATTAAAGGCACTAGAGTTAGTGTTCTATCCCTAAATAATTTCAATTTTTAAAAAACATGCAGCTTCCCTCGCCCCTTTTTTATTTTTGAAAGATTACATTTGGTCATAAAGTGAAACCCGTATTAGCAAGTACGTGGCAATGTTCATTCCAGTCAGAAGCGGCTCCCTCCATCTGGTCTCCCACTGGGGAGGGCTTCCCTCAACTCCTCGGGAGAGATGGAGTGGGGGCTCTGAGATGCCGGGGCTTTGCCATCGACAAAGTGAAGGGAGAAGACTGCAGCTGGAGACTCTCTAAGTTTTCAGATATTTCTTCAATTGAACACTTGACGGTTGTCCCTTTTAATTTATTTGAAGTGCTATTTTTTTAAATAAAGGTTCATCTGTCCATGCAGTCAGTCCTCCTGGATTCTCTGAGTATAGGGACTATCGAAACTGCTTCTAGAGATAGACAGAAGGCCTGGGGGTGGGGGTGCAGCTCCTGCCCTAGTCCGTGCTCACTCACAGGGTGGGCTGCATTTCTTGTTAACCATGTATTAGCTTGACCAGCCACGTGAGCTTTCCCCCTCTTAGGTCTTTGGGGGAGAAAACAGCCTCTCCCAGACATTTGAATTCGGTGAATATGCGCTGGTGTGTGTATCTGTGAGATGTATGCGCTTCTAACTCACTTTGGTAGATTCATCTAGTGGAATTTAAAAAAAAAAATAGAAAACATCTCAAGGAATATAGGTATTTCAGCTATGAACTTTCCTCTGAAGCTTTTTTTTTTCTTTTTTCTTTCTGAGATGTGTGATCAGCTGAAGATTAAGCTGAAATGGGAGCCGTCTGGCCCCACTGTGCCCTTGGAACAACAGAGCACTCTGCAGGAGAGGGTTGGAGGCCAGGGCCTGCACATGTGGTAGCCAGCTTGGAATGTTACTGACATGTGGCAAGAGGGCCAGCCAGAAATACTTAAAGATGCAGAGTTCAGAGCAGGGGCGGGGAGTCAGGGAGGGCAGAGAGCTGTTAAGCAATTCATGATTCTAGTGCTCTGTACATGTGAAAATGCACCGAGAACACATTCGCTAAGACCCTTGTGTGTTTTGTAGACCTGCCCCACTTTCCTCAGTATCAAGTGATCTTAAAGGAAGGCTGAACCTTCCAAACCAAAGGAAATTTATAGGCAGGTCTTGTCACATGGCATTTTGAAGAAAAAGTTAGCTCCTGAGGCTTTGATGTCCCCAGCTTTTAAGACAACTATTTTTTTTTATTGAAATACAAATTTTGTGTGTACCCCTCACCCGACCAAACGCTAGGACTGAAGCCCAAGGCCTTATATATGGCCAGGCAAGCAAACACTCTACAGCTAAACTGCTAGCCTCCTCTGCCCGGTGACTGTCTTCAGGTAGCTAAGCAGAGTGCTCAGCAGTGATGGGATAGTGTCCACGCGTATGAAGAGAGGCTGAAGCAGAAGCCATTTCAGCTAACTCAAAGGAACTCGGTTTGTACCTTTTACCCTTCATCTAGTGATTCTGCAGGTTTTAATGTTTGACTTGGTTTGGGAAAAAGGATGCTGTTTCTTTAGGTCTTCCCTCACTTCCTGCCCCATTTTCTATGCTCTTATCAGTGTGTGCCAGGGCTTGCTTTATGGTCTGCCTCTCCTCTCATCCTGAAGAAGAGTACCCTCTCTCTTTGCTGTGGTTCAGTCTGTCTCCTGGCTGGCCTGACTTGAGTCTGGGCACACAGGGATCTTCCCACTGCCTGGAGCAGCCCCAGAGGACATACACAAACTGACCTCTTCACTTGAAGTAGCAGGCAAAGAGGGCTTCTCTAATGTGAGTTTCACCTTCTCTAAACTTTAGTCCTTTATTGCCACAGTGTTGATTTACTGTCTCCAGCACATCCATCCTTTTAACATCGAGATGTAACTGTCATCTACAAGTATGCTGGGCTGAACTCGTGACTGTCCCAGGACACGTGTGGCCCATGGCAGGACTCTCCTGCATACAGTGACCAAAAAAAGTACTAATTTATGGCCAGGCAGTGGTGATGCATGGTCTTTAATTCCAGCACTCAGGAGACAGAGGCAGGTAGATATTTGTGAGTTTGATGACAGCCTGGTCTACAGAATGAGTTCCGGGACAGCCAGGACTATACACAGAGAAACCCTGTCTAAAACAACAACAACAATAAAAGTACTAATTTATAGTTTATAATTAAGTTTATCCATACTGTTTTTGGCTTTTCCCAATAAAGGATATAGATTAAAAATAAATTATAATAAGTGAATTTTAGGGTGATAAGAAAAAACTGACTCCTACAAATTGTCCTCTGACCTCCACATACCTACCTTGGTACTACCATAACCCACACACAAATAAATAAATGTAATTTTTTAAAGAAATTAATTCCCAGCCTCTTGGTTTCGTTCAGATTCTCCAGCTTCACACAGGACCCTCTCTTATTATCAGGGGGATAGCCCTGGGAATCTTGATAGCTGGTAGGGTTCCCACGGGTCCTACAGGTGTATTAGGAATGTGTTGATTCATGTACTGTGTATTGTTCTTTTTAAAAAATAATATGATGATGGGAGGTCCCGGGCAGCTCGCGGAGCAGCTGCTAGTGGCTGTGGGTCCCCGCAAGATCTCCAGGGTGGCAGCGCCATGCGGCCGGGGGAGTCAGGGTCCCCAGGCGAGCAGCAGAGTAAGGCGGCTGGATGCGGTGAACGGCAGAGTAAATGGACATAAGGCTATACATAAAGCTAGACATTTATTACTTAAAGAAAGGGAGACATAGACAAACATAGAGAGAACAAAGACACACGTACACACGACACGAAACAAACACACACGCACACATGCGAGAGAGAAGATGGCGGTGGGGGGAGGTGGGGTCAGAAGTGGCTGGGGTGGGCATGGTTAGTTCTTAAAGTGTCCCAATGGAATAACACTGTGTGCTTCTTACATGCCAAGAATTAGCCTTGGTGGTGGAGATACGGCAGTGAATAGCATACTGGATGGAGGCCTGGTTGTGGACTCCCTGTCCCATGAGAGCCTGGGCCTAAGAAGAGACAGAATATGGGGGCCTCAGGGGAAGGAGTTGGGCTCTTAAGCTGTAAGAACCCCACTGCTGTGACTGACCTGCAATACTGGCTATCTTTCGGAGACACATCTGTTCCTTCACTGTAGTCTGGGAGGGGCAAGTTTTCTTCTAGCTGAGATTAGCAGTTAGAGCATTGTGTGTCTTAGTTTAGAAAACAACTGTCTGTAAACAGTTATCTAAGCTCCTAGAGCTAGAAGCAAGCACTGTGGCGTCCTTCTAAGAAGATGACATGTAACTTTGGGCACACATGTAACTTTGGGCACTTTTGTGGTTTTCTTTTCTTTCTGAGACGCATTTCTTCTCTCCCAAGCGTTTCCTCTTCTTCATCATCCTCTTCTGTCATTTCTTCAGACAAACTCACTCAGGCTTTAAAGTTGGACCTGAATTCAAATCTATTTTGCAAGCTTCAGGGATATCTTGTACTGTGTGGAAATAAGTTAGGTAGAAGATAGGTAATAGGCCTGATACACAGGAGTACCTTAAATAAAAAATATTTTAAAAAAAATGACAAGACCCTATAAGAGGAGCTGAGTTTGGAACCCCTGAGTTCACTGGTTTCAAGTTCAGAACCTTCTTGCTACATTGGCAGGAGATCATTTGGCCATTCAGTGTCAGTCAATGGGTCTCATTCCGCCTGGAAGATGGTTTCTGGCTGAGTCTGGGAGCATCAACACTGGGAGTTTGATGTATAGAGTCTGGAGCCCCCATCCCACCCACTGTCAAAAACTGCCGGTAGAGGCTTAAATTTCTCCGTTCCTTCTAGGTGGTACTGATCCAGGCGCATGTTTGAGAACATAGCTATGGACAGTTAGACACCTAGGGCAGGATGAGCCTTGAACGGTGCTGTTTCTGCCCATCTGCCTGCCCGCCCTGGAGTGGCTATGGCAGGGTCATTGAAGAAGATGGTTGTGAGTTCTCTTAGCAGTGCCAGTATAGCCAGCCTGCCTGGCAGGTGTGAGGCTATATTAAAAAGACAACCGTCCTTCTGTTTGATTATGGGACTATGTAGCAACAAATGCACCCAAGAAATCTGAACTTCCCAGGGAATCTTATACTTAGAAAGAAAAATCATCTAAAGCCTGGGCTACTCAGAACCTGGAAAAAGATTTGCAACTTGTCACAGCACTCAGAGGAGAGGTGTCACTGGCAGCAGGGCCACCCCTGGACCAGGACTGCTTAATCATGCATATCTCTTGGTTTCTGTTTAAGCTTAAACCTCACATTGGACTCCAGAGATAGACTTGGATGGTCACTGCAGCTCTTTGTTGCTCTTCGCAATGTGGCTACATTGAATAAATCTTTTTTTTTCTGCTTTTCACTATTTTCAACTCTTTTAGTTGGCCTATTAAAGATGGGTGGCAGAATCTGGCTTACCGGAGCAGCCAGATGGAACCCAAGGCATCGCACACAGTAGGTTTCTGGCTTCTTTGGAACCCACCCAACTGCAGAGGAGATGAGTCCTGTCTTATTTTTATCTTTGGGAATCAGGTCTAGCTTAAGCTCAAGACCTCTGGACTGTTGTTAGACACTGTGTCACTACGGGGGACTGCAAGGCCTTAGACATACCCCATCGCAGGCGCCATAACAGTACTCTCGGGCAAAGCTGCTCACCTTGGAAGCCTCAAACCCTGAAGCCAGCGGTTATCTTCTGAGTTAGTTCATCAGGTTTTCCTTATACCTGAGGGGCCCAGGGGGCTACAGGAGAGAGATGGCTTCAACAGGCGGTCTGGATCAGGGGTGAGCACAGATGAGCTGCAAGCTCTTTGGAGGGGTGAACAGGGTTAAAGGGGGAGAGGCCTGAGGATTGAGGGAACCTGCCAGAGACTGGGAAAACAGGCAAGTCTGGGGCCAGGTGGGGGCTGGGAATACAAGAGTGCTTTTGTGCAGCGGAGCCCAGCAGGGGCCTTAGACAGACTGGAGTCTGCCAGGGATGTGTGTGTGTCTAAGATTCTGGGCGGGAGACCCCATGGTGAGAAGGGGTCAGAGAGCAGTGGGCTAGTGGATAACTCAACCCCACCCATTTGGCCCTGGGTCAGGCCCCTTGGTGTGGTAGTTAAGTGTCCAGTTAGAAGACTGTTAACCTCAGGTCTGCTAGTCTCTCAAGCTTTCTTTCCCTGGAGCCTGCCTGGGGGAGGAGGCAATGTAGAGGAGAAGGGGCCTTGGTGCTGTTAGAGACTAAGAAACTGATTCAGGAGTCTACATGGAAATGCAGCTGATCTGGGCAGCAGCCCTGCTTCTGCAGTCCTGGACTAGAGGGGACCAGCAGGAAGAGAATGGAGATGTGGCTTCACAGAATCACTTGGGTTCCCTCGT